TTTGTTTGAGGCAGACTGGATGGTGAATTGCGGTAGGCCCCGGCTTTTCCGCCCGCTGAAAGTCAGCGAGAAAAACAGCGCGCGGGGGTACAAAAGCTCCGGCCCACCGCCCTTATTTCTTAGGGTTAGGAGAAGCATGGCAGCCACCGCTCCCGGCCCTCCCGCCACCCGCGCACCGTGCGCAGACGGAGCTATAAAAGGAGAGCTGGCTGCGAGCTGATTGGCTGAGGCCCTGCCACTCACACGCCAAATAAGAGCCCTCTCAGGCTGATTGGCCAAGGCCCTGTCACTCACACCTCAAATAAGTTCCACTTCCGGCCATGAAGTCGAGTGCCGCGCCAGTCTCTTATAATTACTTTTTAAATTACTTAAGTAATTTAAAGGCGAAACGGAAGCGGAGTGTTAGAGCCGAAAGCTCTGGCTTCCGACCTCACTGAAAAAAAAGAAAAAAGAAAGAAAAAGTGCCGGCGGAGTGGTTCAAGTGCTAGAGCGCCTCCTGGCAAATGTGAGGCCCTGAGTTCAAACCCCAGTACCACCATAAATAAATAAATAATACTGGTGAACCACAGAGAAAGGAGGTTCAGTCCAGCGCAGCCCTGTGATTCAGTGACCCCCAAGATCGTCTGGGCTTACAGTAACTGGGCGGTTTTATAGAAAAGGGAGTCAAAGGAGGGGTTTTGAAGTATGCACATGCGGCAGGACATCTTTCTGGTTCTGGGAGGGATTCGGAGAGGGATTCGGAAGAAGTTATCACTGTCATCACTTAAGGGGAGCAATCTGGTTCCCATGAGATGGTTACTTCTGTTTCAGGGTGCAGCCTCGTCATTAATGAGGTAATTGTCCTCATTGGCTGTGGAGGGTCTGTCCTCCAGAGCGCCGCTGTTCCTTAAGGGTAATTTTGGTCCTTATCATAAAGATGTCAATCAGTGCTGTCCTTCCTGGAATTCAAGAAAGCTGCAGGAGAGAGGCTCAGAGAGAAAGAAAAAGGTTAAAGTGGCAGAAAGGGACCAACTGGGATTAGGCCACTGACCACTGCCCACCTTCAAAACCCAACCTAGCGGGCTGGGGACATGGCTCAAATGGCAGAGCACCTGCCTAATAAGTGTGAGGCCCTGAGTTCTACCGCCCTGAGTTCTACCCACAGTATCGCCAAAAACAAAAATACTTTTTCTCTTTTAAAACATACTTTGAAAAATTTTCTGGTTACTGTGTAGAGAGGATTCTGCCGGCCAAGACAGTAATTATCTAACCCCACCCCAGTCCAAGGCTTGTGCGGAATCCACCGACATTGGGAAGAAGGGACAGATCTGTCATTAGGGCTTGAGAGTTTCCAGGAAGAATGGAGGTGGTTTGCTTTTTTTTTTTTTTTGGTGGTACTAGGGGTTGAACTCAGGGCCTCACACTTCCTAGGCAGGTGTTGCACCACTCTGAGCCACTCCACCAGCCCTTTTGAATTTTTTGGTTTTTTTGGAGGTAGCATCTCACTTCATATGCCCAGGCTGACCTGGACCTCCATTCTCCTAATCTCTGCCTCCTGAGTAGCTGAATGAAAGGCCTACCACCATGCTCAGCCATTGGTTGAGATGGGATCTAACTAACTTTTTGCTTCAGCAGGCCTTGAACCAAGATCCTTCTGCTCTCTCTGCCTCCTGCGTAACTAGGGTTACATGTGTGAGCATGACCAGGCCTGATTTCTTTAGACATCAAAACTATAACACCTTTTTCTATTCCCTACAGACCAGATTTGGTGTACCTCCACTACCTTAAAAAATGGCCGTTCACAGAGAAAAATTTAGGACAAGGACACAGAACAGGGATCCCTACTTCTGATTATCACATTTGTTGGAAAATTTTATGGAAACATCCCCAGGCAACACTGGCTCTGGGCCCAGTGAGCTGAGTCAGAGTTCCTGCCCTGCCCTTTTCCACTTGGAACACCTTTTCCTTGCCTTGTCTTTGAGTAACGGATGTGTTTTATTAAGTGTAATGACTTCATTTTTTTATATTAAGAAATGAAACTCCATTTTATTAGGAAACAAAGGTTTTTCAGTCATTGACTTTGCTTTAATCTGTGTTGTGATATAGTAAAAAGAGAGAAATAGTCTGCCATAAATTGTGCGGCTTTTCATAATGGCCAGTATAATGCAGTTTTTCATCTCTCTGGTCAGCTGATCTAGAAAAGTTTACTATTGTCCAATTGTGTAAACTCTGCAGAGTTGTCTATTGGTCCTCCAGAGAGAAGTGAAAAGATAAAGGAGATTGGTTTGTATTGTTAAGGACAGGGAAAATAGAACTGACATTTCATTCCCTTTGCCCCTAAATTAACTTGAAAGGGATCATCTATAGCCTGTGGAAGAGGCTAGAGTCTACAGAATATTCCAGGCTGGTTGCTCAGACAACTGCCTAAGAGAATGGGATTAAGGACTGTGTGAGTAAGGCAAACATTTAAACTCAAATCTCTTAACCTTTTTAAATCTCAATTTCTTCATCTGTAAAGTGAGAATGGCTTACTTGTTTTACCTATCTCTCTGGTTTGCTGAAGTTTAGACAATGATGAGATAATGTAACCCTGTTTTCTTTTGAGGGAGGGCAAGTGTTGGGGTTTCAACTCAGGACCTCACATTTGCTAGGCAATTGCTATACCATTTGCGCCACACCCTCAGCCCTTTTTGCTTTAGTTATTTTCCTAATAGGGTCATTGGGTTTTGCCTGAGCCTGATTTGTAAATAAGACTACCATCCTATCTACACTTCCCATGCAGCTGGGATGACTGACACTGTCACCACACCCAGCCTATTGGTTGATACAAGTGTCTCAACTTTTTTGCTAGGGCTGACCTTGAACCACAATCCTCCCAAGTAGCTGGGATTGTGTGTGAGGCACCTTGCCTCACCACTTTAAACTTTATAGTTTAAAGAACTATAAAGTGAGAGGTTGGGGGCTGGTGAAGTAACTCAAGTAGTAAGAGCACTTGCCTAGAAAGTGTGAGGCCCTGAATTCAAACCCCATTGCCTCCAAAAAACTAAATAAAATAAAGTGGGAATTTGGGATCATTCTCTAATATTTGTCAATCTAGTGAGTGTTCAACTGTTCAAACTGCCCTTTTCTATACCTCACCCAAAAACGTAGACAATCATTAACAAGGGAGACAGGTGCTAACTAATGAAATGTACCTCTTCACAAATGCTTCACCCAAGCCAAACTGAGTTTCTTCCTATTCCTCATACATGCCCATCACTTTTATGCCTCAGCACCTCTGCCCTACTGTTTTTTCCAAGGGGAAAGTGTTTCTAGTCATTTCTCTGTACCTACAGGAAGTTCACATAGAAAGCGTCATGGAAGGGGACGACATGAAGAAGCAAATGCTAGTGAGCATAGCCAGTGAGGGAGAGAGAGGAGCAAACTAAAAGATACAGTTGCAGAAAGTGATCAGCAGAAATACAAGTGACAATGCACTGGACAACACAAAGGAACCATTTTGATGCAGTGGAGGGGGCCTAAAAATTCCCTAATTCTGTAAGGAGAATGTAACTTCATCGTATTTTGAAAATCTCCTTAAACTACACGATAACCCTGTGAGATGGATGGGGACCACCCATCCCATTTTAAGGATGAGGAAATTCATCTTCAAATGTTTGAACAGCTTACTTAAGCCCTGCAGCTAGTAGGTAGCAGTGTGTGGACACACACTCACATATTTTGACCCTAAATTCAGATGGAAAAGCACTCTAGTACGTTTAAGTCATAGCTATCCTCTAAGTCTAGTCCAAACCTACCAGAAAGTCCTCCTAGAGCCTTCTTCTGGAATTGGACCCTCACAACATTGTGTACATCTCTTAGGACACCAAGTCTCTTCCTACCATGAAGCATTATAATTTAGGTTTTGAATTCTGCCTCTTCTACTAGACTGCTTTTTTTTTTTTTTTGAGTTGGGGGTCTCTCTGTGTTACTCGGTCTGGCCTAGAACTCTTGTGCTCAAGGGATCCTCCTGTCTCAACCTCCTGTGTATGTAGGACTAAGGCCTGTGCCACTGTGCCTTTATAAGGACAGGATCTGAGTCCTGATTTAGGACTCACTGCACTTAGCACAGTGCCTTGTGTGGAGCACATACTAAATACTTTGACTCATGTCAATACTGCCACAATCCTCTCAGCTACCCAGGTCATCTCAGACCCTTCTTTTCTCTTCATGTCTACCTAATTAGGCACCAGATATTGTCAGTTTTTCATAATTTCTTCAACTCATATTGCTTATAATCTTAAATACAAGATTTAGATTCTTCATATCTGAACTAATAACTTTCTAATTCATCATTGAATCCAGTGCCTTCCCAAGTCCAATTTATTCTCCCTGATAATACCATGCTCATTTTAACATAATTCCCTATGTCTCCTGCTTTTCAATTTTGATTGGTCTCCTTTGTCCAGAGGACATTTAACACTCAAAGCCTTTCATCCCTTGGCCTTAATTTACCTTCCTAGTGTATCTCTTACTCTGCTCAAAATGAGTCATTAAACATGCCTTGAATATGTTTGCTCATTCTCATCTCTAGTCCCTGGTTCATTCCATTATGCTTGCCTGGATATTGGCTCTCTTTATTTCCCCCACTTATCCTGATGCCATCCCATCCTGTTATGAAGTCTTTTTTCCCACAGCAATCTTTTCTTAAACTTCAACAGCCTTAAATCTTATCACTCATTTGGCACGTAGGATATCGTACCAACGATGGCTGTCTCCCTTCAAGGTCAACAATAGTGCTTCCTACAGTACTATTTAATTTATCGACTTATTGGTTTATTTGGTGGTATTGGGGTTTGAGCTCAGGACCTCATACTTGCTAGGAAAGTGCTCTACCACTTGAGTCATACCTCTAGCCTCCTATAGCATTTAACTCGGTTCTACTGAATATTCACTGTTTCACCAGTATTATTATTACCATTAGTATTTCCCCTTTATAGAAATGCAACAGAGTCGTGAACATCCAACAATTGAAGTATTTTGTTTGTCACATATGCTCAAAACATTTTTTTCTAATCATTTATCTGTATTTCAGAAACATCTTTGGTGTACTATATTGGGTCCAACTTCTTTAAACTCTGCAGCAGTGATCCACATGTCCTGAAAGGCAGACAGGGATGCAAGAATAGAACCTCCCATCCACACCGATAGTGTCCTTTCTGGAGGAGCTGTAACCTGCACAGGGGTGTTGGCAGGGGCCACCTTTGCTATATCCTTAACTAACCGCTTGTCCAAACCAGGGAAAGAGGTTGATCCCCCAGCAAGGACAATATTGGAAAAGAAGGAATTCCTCAAATCTGTATCACATTTCATTATACTGCTGAAGCACATCTTATCAATGCCAGGGACGTCAAGGTTCATGAGACATGGAGAGAAAAGGGCCTCTGGACAACGAAATTGCTCATCATAGAGCCTGATGGTCTTCCCATCCGGTAGTGTGTAAACTTTTTCCACGCCACCAGGCTTCTTGCCCATCTCCTCCTCGTAGTTCACTGCCACGTAACAACAGGTCTCCTTAATGTCTGCAACAATTTTTCTTTCTGAAGTATTAAGCAGCATGATACCTTGGTTCTTCAACAACATCATGAGGTGGTTGTTGAGGTCAAGGCCTGCCAGATTTAGCTGCTGTACCCCATGAGGCAGACAGTAACCCTCAAAGACGGGGACGCACTGGGTAAGCCCAGCACCTGAATTCAGCACCAAGCCAGTAGTGAAGCCAGCAGCAAAGAGAGCCAGCACAGACTGGATGGACATATAGAAGGCAGGAACACCCAGGTGCTCAAAAAACACTTCGGAGATCTGTTGTCTATTGGCTATGGGGGTCAGGGCCGACTCGGTAATCAAGACTGGACCATCGCAGGGCTTCAGGCTCAGGTTAGAGTCATAGATGTGCTTCCACATGACCTCCATGTCCCCCCAGGAAGTGATGAGACCGCGCTCCACCGGGTAGCTGTAGGGAGAGCAATAGGATAAATAGGAGACAGATTCTCCTGTCTTCAAACCTTAGCTAACCCCGGTCTTTATCACCAATGGCCCTTTATAGGCAGTAGCCGCCCCAGCCTCTCCTGGAAAAAAACTGTCAGCAAACATTAGCAACCATTTGTTTCCTCTACAATCATTTGTTGCTTATCTTTTTCTTCCTCCCCCTTTTAGAGGACTGTGACTTTTTAAAGAATTGGCAAATTCCCACATTATAGTATAGTTTTAGTACCAATTAATTGGGAGAAAATCCCAAATGACAAAAAAAAAGCACCCTGTTATGTGACATTCTTAAATGACAGTGTACATTCTGAAAGATAACCTATCTTTGTGTTTGAATGCTTCTATACTGATACAGAGCACAAACGTTCAGTCTTTAAATGTCGGGGCGCTGAAACTCCCCTGTGGCTGGCTTCCCGATCCTCTTCGTCACCATTGCTATCCCCGGCTGGGCTGTCGCCGCCCGCCCCTGGCAGGGACAGATACCTGATGGACAGCGAGCTCCTCCTGTCCTGCGCCTGGTCGCCCACGCACAGCTCCTGCCCCTCGGCCGCCTTGCCCACGCGCTTGGCGCGGCCCACGATGTTGGGGTAGAGAAACCGGGGCTCGCGGGTCCCCGCCAGGCCCGCCTTGATCACGCCCGAGCCGTTGTCGATCACCACTGGGAGCTGGTGGTAGCTCATGCCGCCACCGTCTGCTGTCGCCCAGTGTCGCCGGGTGTCACCGGGCTGCTGCCCGGACGGTGGCCTGGAACACCGCGTCACAGAGGACGGGGTGGGTCACCTGCACCGCTGGGCCCCTAGACCCAGGAATCCGGCGAAAGCCGCTCCCCAGCCTACAGACCCAATCCTACAGGTGCATCTAGAGAAAGAAGGCGTCCCAAAGTCGTGGAATCCTAGCCAGCAGCCCTGCGCGGTGGGACCCGCCGGAAACCCTGCCAAGGGTCGGGGGAGTTGTTGCAGGGTGTGGAGGGGCACTGCCAGCGCTTCTGGAACGCCCCGCTGCTCAAAAGAGGAAGGAAAAGGATGCATGGGTGCAAAACGAGTGTTTGATTTGTATTTCTGTCTTGTGGGTTCTAAAAATGTACATGATTTTTTTTAATGGCAGGACCTTACGTTTTACACACACACACACACACACACACACACACTACCACACCACTCGTTGATTAAAATGGAGGCGCGCTAACTTTTTCAATAGGCTGGCCTCGAGCCTCCATCCAACAGTCTCCGCCTCGCGAGTAGCTGGAATTATAGACACAAATACCATCCCGGGCGCTAGGACCTGGGCATCCGCGCACCGCCAACCTCCCCAGCGGAAGAAACCTGGTAACTCTCCTTCCACTGAGCAGAAACCGGCTGAGCGATGTGTAATAAAACGGGTTTTTTTTCCCCCCTGGGAAAATAAAGTTAACCTAAAGGGCCAGCACCAAAATGAAACAAAAAAGGGCCAGCACCAAAAGGGTACCTCGCTTCTACAGCGGTACCTACAGGGCTTTGCAAAAAAGTGCACGCAAATTCAACTTTTGAAATAGTTTCAGCACTGCTCAATTGAACATACGGTTTTCTTTTTCCAGTACTCCTTTGCCAAAAATATTGCATCAATTCTACTTAAGGCAGTTGTAAACTGCACGTTACTATGTACATAAGAAGGATCTTTCCAAGCTTTGTTGCAACTTGGTTTCCGTAGTGTAGTGGTTATCACGTTCGCCTAACACGCGAAAGGTCCCCGGTTCGAAACCGGGCGGAAACATACCCTTTTAGTAACGGTCCAATTAGGTACCCTGGTCCTATCAATACATCGTCTTGATAATAACAAAACTTCCATTGCTAGGAGTGTGAGGTCTTTAGTTGAAGGTGTGTTCACCAAATCTTTTCATAAAGTTTTCTTATCAGTGAATAACCTGATATTAAAAAAAATCATATTAGACTCGCGACTATTCTAATACTGAAAAAATAATGTACAGCCCAGAGTGGGGGATCAAACATAGCACAAAAACTACTAGCAATGTCGCCTCATAAGCATTCTGTCATTTAGTTTTCCCCTGGAGATTACATTTTCCCAAGGCCAGACTATGTTTTATTCCTATTCTAAATAGTGTCGAATACTGCTGAATTAACGTTTTGAAAAGGTGGAATCAGAAGAAAATTATATTGAGAAAGATGAATCAACAAAGAACCAGTCTCGAGGGAGTGAGTTTAACTATGACACATTGTAAGAACTTTTGTAAATGTCACAATTTACCCCCAGTATAACAATAATAAAAAAATTAAAAGAACCAGTCTCAAAACTTTTCTTATAAACACAACGGCTGTATAGTTTTATTCCCAAATATGATTCACCCTGTGTATAGAGAGCAAAGAGATTCTGGTAGGGGAAAAAACCTCAGAAGAGAATTCAAGTTGAGATTTGACTAAAATAAATTTATAGGTGAATTCCTAAAGGTCCGGACACATAACTTTTAAGAAAAAATGTGTAAGTTGTAGTTTTCTGAGATTTATGACGCCGCAGGTACTAGGGAAGAAATTTTTGTATGCTGAACAAAGAGCTGTTCTTTCACTGAACAAAATCCAAACTCGATGTGAGTAATTGTATTAAAGCGTTCTGGTCCAGCCGCAAGAAAACCTTTTCCGGTACACAGCCCACCTTCCTCCCGAGCAGCGCATGCCTAGTGTGCCTCGCGGCTTTGCTTCGCTTTCGTGCGTTTGAGTTGTATCAGCAGGTAAGGGCATCTGGCAAGGTGAGCTACAGTTGACTGGAGCAAACAGCACTCCGGGGGTCCCCAGGGTTCTGGGGTACGTGAAGGAGGGAGAGGGTGAGCGGTCTCGGCTCAAACACCCCCACGGCCAGGAGCCCGAGTACACCAAGCAGTCGTTTTCACTGGCCTAGAGCCGAGGGAGGAAGGGAGGCTCATGGGAGAAGAGCAGCAACTACAAGTCCCAGCATGCAGTGCGCAATTGGCTCCCGGAGTGACCCGCGGGGCGCTGGGACCCGCCTCGGTGCACATCCGGGCCGACCGCTGCAGACTGACCGGACAGACATGGCATGAGGAAGGAGGCTATAATACTGTGAACGAGCCCTCAGCCAGGACTCCCTGATGCCGGCTGTTTTGGGAGCCCCTAGCATGCTGGACAGTCCCGGCTCTGGGCAGCTCGTGGGACTCGGCGGTTGTCGGACCCCTACGGTCCTAGTTCCTTTTGCGTCGCTACGGAACGGCGGAGCCGGATGTGGCGTAGGCGGGGAGGAAGAAGCGAGAGGCGGAGCGCTGCGCCGCGCTGTGACGTCCTCGCAAGATGGCGGAGAGAGAGTGAAGGAACTGTTCCCTCTGAGTGGCTACCGGTGAGTGCTGACTTCACCCCCCGCCGCCATCCTAGCCCTTTCCAGACCTTGAGTCATTGGAGGGCAGGCTCCTTGCAGTTCTAGGGTGTGTCGGCCGTAGGTGAAAAGCTTGGGTGAAGCAGCCGTCAGTGACCCAGGCCACAATCTCTGCTGTGGGAATTCGCTGGGATGAGAGCCGGGAGCAGGGCAGGGCAGAGAAGCCGAGGAGGGACTGGCTTTGGTTGTCACTCCGTAGCCGCCGGGCGTCGAGAGAAAGAGAGAGGAGGGTGTGGCCTCCTCGGGGCGAGTGACCGAACCTTTGACAATCCTTGGCCCAACGTTTTCCCCGCCCGTGGCATCGCCTCGCGCTTTTCAGAAACTGAGCTGCGCAAGCCTTCAGGTTTCGGAGACTGGGGAGCATGTAAAACAAATTCATAGCCTGCCTTTCCCCCCCATTTGTCTCAAGGAACGTCTTAGTGGTTTGTTATTTTTTCTCCCTTAGCATACTACTGAGCTTGAAAGTTTGAGAGTTCAACTGTAAAAGCTTACTGAAATCCCTTACTGCAGTTCGTTGAACTGTTCCCATTCGCCGTCATTTGTTGAAGTGTCCCGAGGATGGTGTTAGTATCCAAGGTGAAACAAAGAAAGGCACTTACCCTTTGAACATTCTTAACCAAACATGTTTGATGATGGTTTTTAGGGGGGATAAAATGAAAGCTAACAATTCTTCATTGCCCCTTCTCCACCGCCAGTATCTTGGGTGAACATTTGATGAAAACTTAGGGTTACTAACTTACTGTTTCTTTTGTTTTTTAGATCAAGGGTGAAATTCCATTCTGATACCAAAATGCAGTATTCACACCACTGTGAGCACCTTTTAGAGAGACTGAACAAACAGCGAGAAGCAGGTTTTCTTTGTGACTGCACCATAGTGATTGGGGAATTCCAGTTTAAAGCCCATAGGAATGTGCTTGCCTCCTTTAGTGAGTATTTTGGTGCGATATACAGAAGCACTTCTGAGAACAATGTTTTTCTTGATCAGAGTCAGGTGAAGGCTGATGGATTTCAGAAACTGTTGGAGTTTATATACACAGGAACTTTAAATCTTGACAGGTAAAGTACACATTTTATTTCCAGTTATAAAAGCTAGTCAGTAGTCTTTAGAGCAAAACTAATTTGTATTTTTTCCCATTCAGCTTCTGCACTTAGTCTTCAAATATTTTTACCCAGTTTTTGTTTTAATAAAGAAGTCGATATTACTGATTGGAGATGGACATATGTTTGAGAAGCCCAAAAAGCACATTGTGAACAATAAGAGTTCTGAAACAAAACCTTTTCAGTTTTGAAAATGTGGTGTTCAAACTGAATTCTAAGAGTATTTGAGTTTGCTGTTACTTTTCAGTCATTGTATTCCTCTGGTCTCTCTCTCACTCTCTGTTTCCTACTTAAAAAGTGTTTGGAGTTGAAACACCTTGTTTGGAAAGAAGGAAGTGCCAACCACAAATAGTTGTGTATAGGACTCTTCCTGATCTTAACTCTGGAAAGCAACTTTGTTGGAGCATAAATGGCAATGAGTCTTTCTGTTTTCTCTGTTAACCTGGTTAACAGAAAAATCAGAAGAGGGGAAAAGGAAACAACTGAAATTCTGCCACCCACTGATAACCACTGTTAACTAATGCTCAAGTAAGTCAGAGGTACTAGAATACTTCTCTGAGGTGCTTACTGCTGTCACTGCATTAACAAGTGGATTCTGAGGAGTCTGATAATTCGTACACTGTGTGTCTTCTCTACATAGTAAACCATATGATTAGATTAATAGCAGTACATTCCTAGTTATAGGAGAAAAGATAGAGAAGATAAAAATGAAAAGAAATGGATTATATTATGCCTGTCTTCTTTCCTCCATCTTTTATGAAAGGGTAGACATGAGTAGACTGTTGATAACTTTCTGGCGAGAGATTTACAGCCTTTAGACTTAGATTTTGCCTGTTAATCACTGTATCTTCTTGAGTTTCTCTGGGCCTCACTGATTCCTCATCTATAAAAACAAAACAACAACAAAAAACCCCAGGAGATATGGGCTTGGTTGGTATGGCTCAAATGATAAGAGTACAAGACCCTGAGTCATAGCTCTGGTAGTAAAGCATAGATGTGAAGCCCTGAGTTCCAACCCAGTACCACCCACCCCCCAAAAAAAAGTAATGATTGTGTTACTGCAAAGATTAAAGGAGGATTTACTTGAAACCCCATCTTGCAGTAGACATTAGTTTTCTTTATTTTTTCTACTTTTCCCCTTGGATTCCACATTTCTTAGAGAAGAATTAGAAGGTGTAAAAAGGGAAGGGGGAAATACCTGAAATTTTGCCACCCACTAATAACCACCATTTTGATAGAAACTCATTCACATCCAGAAGGGCTCTATACATATTGCTTGTAAACACTAAGCAGAATAAAAATGCTAAAATCAAGATGCTACTTAGGCCTTTTTTTGAAAAGGAAATGTTTGCGCTGAGGACATGGCTCACTTAGTTGATTCCGTGGCAAGAGGCCATAAGGGTATTCAGTTCCTGGTACTGAAAAATAAAAAAAAAAGGAGATGTTGATGCTGTTTTGGAATTTTAAAATTTTGGTATAATGAAATCTTCAAGTGAGTCAGTTCTGGACAAATTAAAGGAACAGAGCAATGTCATAGATTAAGCTCATGTGACAAATTATTTAAATTTACTAAATAGTTCGTTATATAGATGCCTATGATCTAAGAATTGCTGGGTGCTAGTTGTTCATGCCTGTAATCCTAGTTATTTAGGATGTAGAGATCAGGAGGAATGAGGTTGAGGCCATCCTGGGCAAATAGTTCTCAAGACCCCCATACCCAAAATCACAGGAAAATGAACTGAAGGTGTGACTCAAGCAGTAAAGTGCCTGCTTGGCAATCTTGAAACCCTTGAGTTCAAACCCCAGTTCCACCAAAAAAAAAAAAAAAAAAAGAGTTTAGAATACTCAATAGATAGTAGCCTCAGGCTAGTGAATTTTGGTTGACAGTCAATTTTAACGGTTTCTCTTCCTCAATGAACTAGTCAAGAAAAAATCTTACAGAGCACCTTTCTTTGTGCCTTCATGCAAATAACCAGTGTGAAGAAGAGGCAGGTGTTTTTTTTTTTTTTTTTTTTTGATGCATGTCTTCCATGATAAGCTAGATAGCTAATTGTTTGAGCCCAGTCAGGAGTGTGAGAGAAGATGTCTACCAAAATAGAAAAGCTGAACAATTTAGGAATTAAGAAAACAAGCAAAATAATAGAAAATTGAGTGGATTCAGGGGCCAAATTACCTTGGTTAAATCTTGGTTCTTGAACACGTTACTTAATTTCTTTGGAAATCTGGCTTGGGTGTGTGTGTGTGTGTGTGTGTGTGTGTGTGTGTGTGTTTCTGTGTGTGTGTTTCTGGATATCAAGCCCAGGGCCTCATGCATGCTAGGCAAGTGCTTAACCACTGAGCTACACCTGCAGCCCCTTATTTTTCTTTTAATTGCTATGTAAAATGAAGATTATAATAGACTTCAGAAGTATGTTCTGAGTATTAAGGGAACTAATCCTTTACCAAATTTAGCCATATACCTGGCAATATGTAATTAAATGACCTTCAGTGAATGTTCAAAACATAGAAGGAAGTTTGAAAGTACTGTAACTTAATGCTTGTACACAAAAGCAGAGATCAGCTATTAAAGTAAACAAGTACTGATAAATTCTCTTAACTGTCAGTGAGATTATAGAATGTGAAATAGTTTGTATAAATTACTGTTTCAGTATTGAACAACTAGTGTGTGACTTGATTCTAGTTTTATTGGTCATAAAGGCTACGTAGCCTTGTTCTCTGTTAGGTGCTTTATTGCATGGAACATGAAGCAGTAATATAATTTGAGCCCCAACAGGTAGTATAAGAGTAAATTTGATCTTTTCATTCTAGTAGTGTTGCATTTATTATACTTTTTTTTCTAGTGGTACTGGGGTTTGAACTCAGGGCTTCAAGCTTGTAAAGCAGGTGCTCTGTCACTTGAACCACAGTTCATTTTGCTCTAAATATTTTGGAGATGGGCCTCACAAACTGTTTGCCTGAGCTAGTCTCAAACCTCTGTTCTCCTCAGCCTCCCAAATGAAATGCAAGTGAATTAGATTGTTTTTATATATATTTGAGCATTTGTGCTATTTCTTTGCGAATAGAGAATTGACTGCAAAAATTCATGGTATATATTAGAAATTAGAGTCAAGGGCCAATAAGAAGAAATATCTTAAGTTTCTATACTTTTTGCAGTACTGGGGTTTGAACTCAGGGCCTACACCTTAAGCCCTCCCCCAAGTGTTTTTTGTGAAGGGTTTTTTCAAGGTGGGACTCAAGCACTATTTGCCCAGACTGGCTTCAAACTGTGATCCTCGTGATCTCTGCCTCCTGAGTAGCTAGGTTTATAGGTGTGAGCCCAGCTGATACTTCTTTTTCTTTCTTTCTTTTTTTTTTTTTTTGGTGGTACTGGGGTTTGAACTTAAGGCCTTCACCTTGAGCCACTCTGCCTGCCCTATTTTTGTGCTGAGTTTTTCCAAGATAGGGTCACACGAACTATTTGGCCAGGCTGGCTTCGAACTGAGATCCTGATCTCTGCCCCCTGAGTAGCTAGGATTACAGGCCTGAGCCACCAGCACCTTGTATCTGACATTTTTTAATATCTGTCAGTACCACATATGATAGATGGCTCAATAAATATTGACTAGAATGTTAAAATGACTTGTCTTTCTGTATAAGTCTAACATGACAGTCTTTCCAGCCAATTAGATTAAGGAATTAATAAAAAAAAAAAAAAAGTGGGAGAATTGCTGGAGAGAGCTTAACTAACACATTCTAAAACCTTGTCCCTCCCAAGTGTGATTCTTGGACTAGCAGCATTGGCATCACCAAGAAGTGCATGAGAACAGCAGAATCTCAGGCCCTGTCACAGACTTACTAAATTTGGATCTTCATTTAACAAGATCTAGGCTGGACCCAGTCGCTCAAGCCTATAATCCTAGCTCCTCAGGAGGCAGAGATCAGGAGGATCAGGGTTTGAGACCAGCCCTGGCAAAAAAAAGTTTCCAAGACCCCATCTCAGTCAGTGACTGGGTGCAGTGGTTCATGGCCTGTTATCCCAGCTACACAGGGAAACAAATAGAAGCATTGCAGTCCATGCCAAATCAGGCATAAAACAAGACACTGTGTCAAAAATAACCCACACAAAAAGGGCTGGTAGTGTGGCTCAGGTGCTAGAGCGCCTGCTAGCAAGTGCAAGACCCTGAGTTCATGCCCTGCCCCCCAATCAAAAAAAAAGAAAGGTCCTTGGTTGGGTAATTCAAATGCACAGTAATGAGAAGCACAGTTAAAAGTTTCACACAGGGCAGAATGGGGAAGTAATAGGAAGCGATTTTTATTAGATTCTCCGCTGCTATCCAGAAAAGTTGGTTGCTATCAGAAGAGGTCTCAGGGAAAACTGGAGGAAGCAGTGGCGGCTTGCTAACAACTATATTTGTGTCCCAGTTTCTTTTTAATTAAAAACAGCCAGAAAAATGAAACATTTTGTTTTTCTGTAGTGGTCTCTCAGCAGCTTGTGAATAGTCATCATTTCTCATGTTTACAGGTTCTGTAAAATTGGAGATCTTTGCCTAAATATTATTCTGACTGAATTAAATTTTGTATGTTGTTTGTTGTTTAAGTTAGTATCTTTTTTAGTGTTTTGCTTCATTAGATCTTTAAAGTACGTTGAAGTATATGCAGCTGTATATCAAAAAACAGTTTTTGTTTGATCAGAATGTTGTCATTTAGCCTTTTTTCTTTACAGTTGGAATGTTAAAGAAATTCATCAGGCTGCTGACTATCTCAAAGTGGAAGAGGTGGTAACTAAATGTAAAATTAAAATGGAAGATTTTGCTTTTATTGCTAATCCCTCTTCTACAGAGATATCTAGTATTACTGGAAACATTGAATTGAATCAGCAGACTTGTCTTCTTACTCTACGAGATTATAACAATCGGGAAAAATCAGAAGTGTCTGCAGATTTAGGTCCTGTAAATCCTAAACAAGGAGCTTTAGCAAAGAAGTCATCTCAAACTAAAAAGAAGAAAAAGTCTTTCAATTCCCAGAAAACAGGACAGACTAAACACTCTATGTCTAACATAGCCAGTGTAAAGAGTCCTTATGAGCTGGAGAGCTCTGGGGAAGAGCTGGATCAGAGGTATCCCAAGGCCAAGCCAATGTGTAACACATGCGGGAAAGTATTTTCCGAAGCCAGCAGCTTGAGAAGGCATATGAGAATACATAAAGGAGTCAAACCTTACGTCTGCCACTTGTGTGGAAAGGCATTCACCCAGTGTAACCAGCTGAAAACACATGTACGAACTCATACAGGTAGGACTGGTTTGTGGGGAAATGTAATTGCTTTTATACTAAGACGAAAATTGTTTTTTGAGGGGAAGGTCCTGGTGGTCGAACCAAGAGCCTTATGCATGCTAAACACTACCACTGAGCTAACACCCCTAAAATAGTAATTTTGTAGAAGACATACTAGCTACAATGTTGACTGCATATGACCAAAGTTTGCTATTCTTTTATTCATAAAGGTGTTTAATAGTGTTAGACTTTTGAAAATTTATTTGTAATTGTAGTCAGATATTTATTGGTTGTTTTATCATAATTGATGTCTAAGTCCTAATGCATCAGTTTGTTACCCATTTTCTCTCAAAATAAGCATAAACTTGGTGCTTGCTTTTTAAATATTTAAGGGACAAAGACTGCAGCTGATAAGTAAAAAAACGTAACTATAATTCAGGCCAATTTTCACATATTACCAACAAGTCTCATTACATGCTTCCTAGACCATTGATTTCTGAACATATTTGAATTACACATACATTCTGTCCTCAGCTTCTACATTTATTTTGCATGTCACTTTTCTAGCGGCAAAGTATGCACACCCATTGGTACACTTAGATTTGTACTTTTTTAGATACAGTATGTATTTTTCTCATTGATCATCTTTCACTACTGTGTGTTGAGAGATTTCTCTTAATTCTATGGATGTTTTTTAATAGTCTGGGAAGGTCCTGTTTGCTGCTGTTTTAGTACTTAACATTTTCCAAATACCAAAGCTAGTACTGTTGATAACTACTTTTGAAAGCTTATGACTTTAGCAATTAAAGCAGAATTTTTTTCCTTCTTAATACAAATTTTATTGTTCCTTTAGGTGAGAGGCCATACAAATGTGAATTATGTGATAAAGGATTTGCTCAGAAATGCCAGCTGGTCTTCCATAGTCGCATGCATCATGGTGAGGAAAAACCTTATAAATGTGATGTATGCAATTTACAATTTGCAACTTCTAGCAATCTCAAGATTCATGCAAGGTAAAAAAAGCAACAAAAATGGATTGTTTGACCTTTGTTAATCATCATAGACTTTTGAATACAGTATTTCGTTAGAATTCAGGACAGTAGAGTTCTAATTAAAGTTCTACCATATTGTATTCTTAGCACATTCAGGGAACTACAAGGAAGCCATGGTGGTTTGAAGGGAATAAGAGTGGGGCAGGGAGGGGGTACTGGAAAATAAGATCACAATGGTGATAGTGCTTAGAGATACAAAGGGTTTTTTGTAGACAATTATAAAGCTTTTCCTGTTGAGATTGCTTGCATTTTAAGAGGATCCCTCTGGCTGCCATATTAGGAAAAAACCATTAGAATTGTAAAAGTGGAAACAGGGTGACTAGTTAGGACTCTGCAAATGAAACCTAAGTGAAGGTGATGATGGTTCAGGGTTAGATGCTAACAGTGAAGGAAATAAGTAACAGATTTGTGATACATTATAAAGGTCGAACTAACAGAATTTGCTTATAGTTTGGATGTGGGATCTGAATAAAGAAAAAAAGAGTCAAAGATGATTTCAAAGCTTTGTGAGGATTTGAAGAGAATTGCTATTAGTTGTGATGGGGAAGGTTTACGGTTAGAGCAGTTTTAAGCGGGAGTGCAGTTATGAACATATTAAATTTGAGATGACTTTAAACATCTGAATCAGAAATGTGCCATAGACACTTGTTTATTTAAGTCTTGTATGTTAGCTTTCTGTCATTTTGACAAACTGCCCATTACGACAAAATTAGCCCAAAGGAGGAACATTTATTTTGGCTCACGGTATAACAGGTTTTAATCCATGGTCACTTGACTTTTTTGTTTCTGGGCTTATGGTGAGGCAGAGCATGATGTCAGGGCATAGTAGAGCAGAGGTGCTCAGCTCTTGGTGACTGGGGAGAAGAGGAAGGGAGAGAGAGAAGGAAAGGGGCCAGGGACAAGACATAGCTCAAGGTGTGCCCGAGGGCACATCTCCAAGGGCCTTAATCCCTTCAACTAGGTCCCACCTCCTGAGTTTCTATTATCTCCCAGTAGTCCATCAGATTATGAGCTCATCCATAGAAAAATCCACTGAAGAGGTCAGAGTCTATGATTTAATCACTTTCTCAGAGCCTTTCCTCTGAACATTGCTGCATTGTAGACCAAGCCTTCAACACATGAGCCTCTGGAGTACATTTCAGATCCAAGCTATAACATTTCTACCTCTGGCCCCAGTGGCTCATTCCCATTTCACAATGCAAAATGCATTTTGTCCATCTCTAAGGGTCCCCAAAGTCTGAGCAGTTCTAGAATTGCTCAGAAGCCCAAGCAAAGTCTCTTCTGAGACTCGACAGATGCTTAGCTCTGAGTGCCTGTAACAATAATAATAAACCAATTTAGACATTTCCATGACACAATGGCACAGGATAAATATTTCCATTCCAAAGAGAGGAAATGGAGAATACCAAGGAAGGATCAGACCAAAGCAAGATGGCAACCCAGCAGGACAAACATCAAATCCTTTAGCTCCATGTTCAGCATCTGGGGCTCAGTGTGGTATGATGTGAGCTACAAACTACTGCATCTTTCTTGGGCTGGTTCTGCTTGCTCTCTGCACCTTCCCTTGACAGATGTTCCACATTTCTGGATCTCCAACTTGAGTTTCAGCTTCACTCTCAGAGCTTCAAACATCACCTTCTTAGTCCAACCCCTGATCTTGTAGGCTTTCCTTTGAAATCTGGGTAGAAACCTCTGTGAATCCCCACAACTCTCAAATTCTGTATGCCTGCAAAACTAGTGCCATGTGGACTACGCCAAGTTTTGCTGTCCCTGGGAGCAGTATTGGACCATGGCTATTGCATCTTCTTAATGCCTGTATGACTGAATATAGGTAAGGAGTCCTGGGAATATGATTCTCTAGTGTCCAGCACTTCCTTTTCAAGGCAAGTAAGTGTACAGTTTTATACCCTTGAGCCTGTGATTAGTGGGATCTGGATAATTCCTGAGGTGCCTTCAAGGGATATTTCCTTGAGTTGGTTGTTTGGTTTTTTGAAACAGGGTGTTGCTACATAGCCTAAACCTCAAGCTTGTTATGTAACTCAAACTGGCCTGGCACACAAGTGTGTGCCATTGACTTCTTTGTAATGGTGTTCATGTCCTCAGCAAGTGCACCTTCCTTGGCCCTAGCTTTACCCACACTTCTTTTCTGACCAAGCTGCAAGTTTTCAAATCTTTCCACTTTGTTTTTTGCTCACATCTCACAGTAAATCTGGCTAAAAATAGCAAGCAATGCCCATGCCACAGCCTATATGCTAGGCTCCTTTGAAATTTCTTCTGCTGAACTATTAGCCCATTTTGTTTTCTTGCTTTTTTGTGGTACTGTGGTTTGAACTCAGGGCCTTGTGCCCACGAGGCAGGCACTTTACCATTGAGCCATGCCCCCAGCCTTAACCTATCACCTTTAAATCCACACAGAATCTCAGGATGGACAAAATGTAGACAAGTTCCTCGCCAGAATGTGACACTGGCCTCTAGTCGAATTCCAAATAGAGTCCTCATTTCCCTCTGAAACTTCATGGGCACAATCTTTACTGTCAGCATTATTATTATTTTTTTAACTGTTTTGGTAGGTCTCATTATGTAACCCAGACCAGCATCAAATTCTCAATCTTCCTGCCTTAGTCTCTAGGGACATGCCACCATCCCTGGTTCCTATCCACATTCCTATGAGAATTCTAGTCTTCTGAGCAGCCCAGAAGCTACCCACTAAGCTCTGCTTACAGCATCCTAGGATTTCTCCAGTCTGCTTCTCCAAAACATGCTTTTTCAAATTCCTGCTACAAGCAGATTCCAAAAGTTTCTGAATCACATCATCAGGTGCACAGTGATAGCCCCCACTCCTGATGATACCAGTTTTCCATGTTAGCCTGTGTCACTGTGACAAAATATCGGAGGTAATCAACTTCAAGGAGGAAAGGTTAATGTTGGCTTACAGTTTCAAAGGTCCACAGTCTCTTGACTATTGTTTCTGGGTTTGTAGTGAGGCAGAGGGGACATGGTGGAAAGAACTCTTATCTGCTGGGAAACAGTGAGAGGGAGGAGGGGTAGGGGACCCTTCAAAGGCATGCCCCCAGTGACCTTCCTTTATTAAGGCCCCGCCTCCTAAAGTTTTAATTACCCAGAAGCACCACCAGCTGGGGACCAAACCTTTAGCACATGACTGAATATTGGGGAATATTCCAGATCCAAACTATTAACATCTGCAGTTCAGGGGACTGTTTTTTTAGCTGAATATATAAATTTGGTAGTCATCAGAATATGGGTATTTTTGAAGTTCCAATATTTAATAAGGTCACCAAGAGAGTGAATGAAAAAAATCAAAAAACTGAATCCTGAGTTTACTTTAATAGATGGGCAAGAACCAGCTAAGATAGTCTCTAGGAAGGAGCATCCAATATGGTAGGAAAGTGGGCTGACTTTGGGATCCAAGTGAAGAAAATTATTCAAGAAGGTTGTGATAAATTGTGTAAACTTCTGATGACAGACTAGGAGTTGACTTGGATTTAGTAAAGTGGGATATCATCAATGCTCTTGACAAAAGCAGTCTTAAGCAGAGGCTAATAAAGAAGACATGGAAATAGAAGTTTTGGAGACTCCAGTTTTTGGTAAAGGAAAGCAGAGAAATGGAAAAGTGAAATGGGTTGGGTCTCTCTCTCACTCAAGGTAGAAGGCATATCATATTTGTGTCCTATGGTCCAAGGGCTGAGTGAAGGGTAAGGGTGATAATGGTTGGGAGGAATTGCAGAGTGATACCATAGACTAGCGCATTTCAAGTGCTTATTAAAATTGGAGTCTCGTTGAGATGAACTGTCACCTCATGTTACAATTAACCTGAAGGAAAATGAGCTATGTAAGTGCAGGTGCCTGTAGGTAGACGGTTGTGATGGGAATTTTCTTCTGATTAAATTCTTCTCAGTGAAGCAGAAAGGAAAATGTCAGCTGGGAGTGAGGTTGGGTAAGGAGATGCTGATAGTTTGAAGGAGTTTTAACAAGTGAGAGTGAGAGTAAATAGATTAGCAAAGTAATTGCAGTTATTAGAGGCTTACTGATAACTGTATAAAGATGATGGCAAAATTTTTCGAACTGATCTCAGAACTGTTTTAATAATAACTAATATTTTAGCAGTATTTTCCATAGAAACAATTGCTGATTTTCAGTACAGTATTAGCTTCCTGAGATGAAGTGAAATAAAATGCTATATGAAAAATGCTTTCTGTTATTTGACCTCCAAATTGTTTTATTTACCAAAGTATGACTTTATACTTATTTACCAATAGGAAGCATAGTGGAGAGAAGCCATATGTTTGTGATAGATGTGGACAGAGATTTGCCCAAGCCAGCACACTGACCTATCATGTCCGAAGACATACTGGAGAAAAGCCTTATGTATGTGACACCTGTGGGAAGGCATTTGCAGTCTCTAGTTCACTTATCACTCATTCACGAAAACACACAGGTAAGAGTTTGACATGGAGAGAGTGTTTAAAATAGGGAAAGTTGTAAGTAAAAGAAAAAGCAGAATTGGTCTTTTACAGAGGTAGATTATAGTATATTAGGTTATCTATTTGTGTTTGTGCTTTTTTAAGCTTTGCTTATGATTTTCACATAAATATTTGATATAAAAACTGACCTATTTTCTAGAATAGTAGAAGGTAGGGAAAATTTTTTTTATCATTTAACTTATACACATTAAAATTAGTGAGATAATTTGTTTATAATTTAAAGTAAGACATGTTTTAGGACTTTAGAACACCATATCCTCTTGAGAATTTATTTCCTTTGGATAAAATTGTGAAGTTAAGAGGTAGGAGATGGGTTTGGTTAGAAAATTGACTTTATTAACTTTTTCAGACTTTCCTACACAGACATTCTGTGTAAAATTCAATATAAGCAGCTCAAATGCAAATTATAGTTTTGAAGAAAAGTTTGGTCAAAGAGTCATCTTTTCGGGGGGTAGAGTTGATGTTTAAATATCTTCCTTAAATGTTCTTTATTTTCCCTTAATAATACAGTCAATAGATTTGATATGGAATGATGAATTTAATGTGCTCTTAGTCATAAAAAATCAAACTCCATGTCCAGTTCATTTGTACTTGAAGAAACATTTGCAGGAATAAAATTGTAGTGTAGAGAAATATCAGGTTATGTAAACAGAATAAAACAAGAGTGCATTTAAGTAAGATCACTGAAAATACCTCTAAAATACAATATTGAGAGGTTTCACTTTAATATTTTAGGATTACTAGGACAACTTATTTGTAATTGATAAATTTTATATTGGTATAGTACACCACTTCGCTATCTTTTATTTTCCATCTAGGTGAAAAACCATACATATGTGGTATTTGTGGGAAAAGTTTTATTTCCTCAGGAGAGCTCAACAAACACTTTCGATCCCATACAGGTCTGTGTTTAGGGAGAACGTATTATTTTTTGTTCTCTCTTCATTTCTTTTTCTATAAACCTTGGCTTTCAACCCATTATGGACTATATGGTGTCTAGTCATAATTTACCTATAGTAGTATTTTAATGTATAAGTATCACCTTTTTATTTGCCTATTTCATTGCTTTTTTTCCTTTAGTTTGGAATACGAATTAAATTCAGTCAAGAATTGTATAGATTTTCCAAGAAATATGCCAGATAATCAATAGCTTTTAAAATGACTTGGATTAAACTGCAGATACACCAAGAAATGAAAAGGAAGAGCCAGCTGTGGTGCTTACACCTGTAATCCCAACTACTCAAGAGGCAGAGATGGGGAGAATCATGTTTTGAGGCCAGCCCCAGCAAAAAGTTAGCATCTCAAAAAAAATAAGCCAGACGTGGTGTGTGCCTGTTGTCCCAGCTACGTGGGAGGTATATATAGTTAGGATCATAGCCCAAGGCCAGCCCCAAGTAAAATGATAAGGCGCTATCTGAAAAATAACTGAAACCAAAAGGGCTGCAGATGTGACTCAAATGTACAGACCCTGAGTTCAAACCCTAGTACTGCCCCAAAAAGAGAAAAGATATAGTTGATACCAATATAATGTCAGATTTTATTATTAAACTTTTTGTATCCAAGTTTTGGAAATAAATTTTGACATTGACATGCTTATTATAAAAATTTAATGTGTAGATTAGAATAAAATAGTGAATATTTTTTAAAGATTATACAAAGGAAAATGCCACTTTTAAAATGTAGTGCTCATTTTCTTTTCAAAACTTCTTCCTCATAATTCCCACTTAGATTAGTATGAACACCCAGGCAAGATTCAGCTTCTGTTTTCTCATGCTCCTGGGTTTTTCAGCGATTTGTTTTTCCCCTATGCTAGGGAAAATGAGCCTCATGCATTCCAGGCAAGACTACCTCCCCCCTCCCCACTCTGTCTTAGCCAGACCCTGGCTTACATTTGACACTCGATAAATATCTGATAGAAATACAAGATAGGTTGTTTTTTTAAGTTGGCAAATTTCAGCTAATGAAAAGGCAGTTTTTCCTGAAATTGGGATATGTTTTCTTTAAAGGAGAGGAGTAACTATGTGCGTAGAATTCCTCATTCAGTGTTACAACGAAGTGATTAAAATGTTAGTTTGAAACCAAGTTTAAACAGTATAGTTTTTGCTTTATATTCATGAACATTGATATATTTGTCTTAGCAGCTTTTAAAATATTAAAGTTTTAATTTTTTTAACTTTTTCAGGAGAAAGACCATTTATCTGCGAATTATGTGGAAATTCTTATACAGATATTAAAAATTTAAAGAAGCACAAAACAAAAGTCCATTCTGGTAAATACTTATGTTTTAAAAACAATTTGTTGCATTCATATTAGTGACATTTCTTACAGTGTTGAGATGTAAATTTTGAAGATTTGAATTAGATACCTGTATTATAAAACTAGATATACACATATGAGGAAATTAGCATTGTAATTGTAGGAACTTAATTTTGATATTCAACTTGTAATAATAAAAAAAAAATTTGAACATTTCAACTGTTTCCTCCTTTAAAAACCTGACTTGTAGCCAGGAGTGGTGGTACACACCTGTAATCCTAGCACGCAGGAGGAACCACAAGTATGAGGCCAGTTTGGGCTACATAGTGAGACCCTCTTTGGAAAAAAAAAAACCCTGACTTGTGAACAGTTTCATGAATGAAAGAGTATAAGCAAACTAAGTACCATTGATCCCATAATAGAGCCTGGGTAACCCGGGTTGACTCTAGTTATTATGAAGGTTATCATGAAGACCAGCATATGTATAAGAGGAAATAGGAAACGAGTAGCCCAGATTGTTATAAGACACAAAAGTAGAAAGCCATACTACAAAATTTTAAGCTTATTACTTAAAATGGATCCTTGGAAAAGATTCAGTATGCTTACTGTTTTATTCTGTCATGAGTAGAAACACTAGGCTGCTTTGGTGTGTGAAGAGTCTTTTATAATATAAAACATAAACATCATAAGAATTAAGTTAGAAACATCTCAGTGAGTTATTAATTGAGTAACTTTTTATTAAATGCTATAAAATACATGTAACTGTGTAAGGAATATGGAGTTGAACAAGGCATAGTCCCAAGTCCTCATCTTACTACCTTTATAGGAGGCCAGAAATTTGAATCAATAGAAAATGTAAAATATAATAAACATGAAAGTGCTAAAGAAGATGTTATGGTTATGAATTCACAGGATAGTATGAACTACTCATTAAAATATTCAGTGAACAAATGAGAATGTCTGTGTGATATTTCAGTGTTGAGTACTTTGAATGAGTTAAATAAGTTGAAGGCCAGCCTGAGCTATGTAGCAAGAGCCTGATCCAAAACATGAAAAAAGGAAAGGCTTAACTGTAGAGACCTTGGAGAGCAAAGAAGAGTTCAAAGGGTAGAGGTGGGGATAGAAATGGAGAAAACATTGTTATGAATCACTAGGATAAGAAAGCAGAGGTCTTACTCTTGACTGGTTGGACTGGAGAATATAATTTTATGAAAGCAAATATGTACTTTTATCTATTTAATAAGGATAGTGAAATCATTCAACACCTTGGAGTGACAAGAGCATGTTAAAATAAAACTAGTGGAAAATTTGAAGACAAAAAGTACATCTTTAGTCAATGTGATAATTTCTCACCTCTGAAGATAGATGAAAGTTCATACTTTGAGCTTGAGCTCACAGAATAGTATGAACTCATTAAAATAGTCAGCAAATATTTATTTAATATATCACTTTTCAGTACTTGGAAGGAATTAGAGAAGCATAATTTGATATTTACTCTCAAGGAATTTGTAGTCTAGATGAGGATTGAAGGCATACCTGAGTAGACTGTTAAGTAGCAGTAAGACGAATGCCATAGGGCAGTATATGAAACTTGACAGATATGTAATAAAGTAAGTTAGAAAAAGCTCATCCTGGTTTAGAATGATTGAATTCATGTCTTGAGTTTAATTGGTAATAAAATGGGCATTATCAGTAAAAAAATAGTTTATGTAAAAGGTGTGGAGGTTGGAATGAAACTTCTGAGACTTGGAAGTAGACTGGCTAACCTCAGGCATTTTGTTTTGATTTTAAAGATAGTGTAAAAAAATTTTTTCCCCTTCCCTTTCAGGTGCAGATAAAACTCTAGATTCCAGTGTAGAGGATCATACTTTGAGTGAACAAGATTGCATACAAAAAAGTCCTTTGTCAGAAACTATAGATGTGAAGCCTTTTGATATGACTCTACCATTAGCTCTTCCACTTGGGACTGAGGACCACCACATGCTTCTTCCTGTCACAGATAATCAGTCTCCTACATCAGATACATTGTTGAGGTCAACTGTGAATGGGTATTCAGAACCACAGTTGATCTTTTTACAACAATTATACTGACTTTGTGAGAAATATGGAATTGCTAAGACATCTCTGGTAGTAAACACACATCTCTGGTAAGATGCATATATTCATATTAAATTCCCATTCATTTGAGTTGTGACCATTATTTTTCATTCACTGAAGTAAAAACACTGATGCTGCATCAAAACTGCAGTGCTTGTTTTGATTTTTGGCTTTTATGTCTAAATAATACAAATAGCTTTTTAAAGAATGAATTATACTATGGTAGCACTATTTTGGATGGGTATGTTTTATTCTCTTAAAGCTTCCTCAGTTCCATTTTAGAATTACTCTTTACTTACTGAAGTAGAATAAGTCAGTTTTGTAATTCTATTTTGAATATGGGATTTTTTTTTTTTATTCTTCGCCCTTCAAAACTTAAGCAAAATCTATGGTATCAGTCCTCAAAGTGTTGCTATTTGTAAACCCCAGAGATCAGTACATAAATGATGGAGACAAATTGATACTTCATATTTCTGCTTATGAAAATTTAGGTATTGAATAAGAAAGTGCAATTTCTCTATAATATGTTCCATTAAAGGTAACTTTTCTAAATGAAGCCAAAAGAAGTTTCTCTTAAAAGATAGAAAACTGTACATAAACTTTTGTTGATTTAGAACTCAGTATTCGAGAGAAAATCAGTGGTCAGTTGAGTCAGTGTTTTGGTTCAAGTCACTTGAAATTATATTTTTAAAACATACGTGGTGTTTTTATCTAGTCAAATGACAGTTTTAAAATTTGATTCAGTTTATTTTTTATTAGGTTTGTAGATTACTGGAAATAAGGAATATATACCAAGTTTTTAAAAAATTTTGATAATCCTGTCTTATGTCTGTTATGCACTTTTAAAAAATAAATACTAAATTCTAAAAAGAATTTTCTAGATACAAAACACATAGTAGAAATCACTTAGTTTCTAAATTTGATGTTACTTTGCATAAAGAAACTTGCCTAGGATGCCTGAGGCCCTGAATTCAGCCCCAGTACTGCAAAAAAGGAAAAAAGAAACTCTTCAATTTTCAGAAACTAACTTCAATTCTAATATTTTGGGTTAAACATTTTATATTTGAGTTTTCTGTAAGCTTTGTTTTTAAATTTTATAAATCACACCACAACTTTTACTTGTCATAGTTTCACAGTGGTTCTTTTCCTTCCAAGTGAACATAGAAAATTTAATATTATCCTATTTGCTACCACTCTTCCCCACCTCATTTTTCCTACATTTTAATTTATTTTACTGCCTGACTGGACATTAAATTGACAGTTTCATAAAGTTAATTCCCATAATGCTAGTCAAACATCATGGTGACTTAGTTCTCTGCCATGTGTTAATTATGGCTTATTTGTTTTTGAGTTTTAAACTACACCTGTAATAAATTTAATTTGTTTATTGGTGTTTCTTTAATCGTAATTTTCTGTATTTGGGGTCCAAGTCATAGAAACCAGTCAGAGGACACAATAAAAATACTTAACTTTTTTTTTTAAGTTTTTAAAATTTTTCTTATTGTTAGCATATTACAGTTGCACAGGGGTTACAGTTTATATTAAAGTGCTTACAATATAAATGAGATTCATCCCCTCCATCTTTCTCCTTTATCCTTCCCTACCCTCCTGCTTGGAGCTCAGCAGGTTTCATTGTTCGTACATGAATACAAAGTATTTCCAGCTAATTTACCCTTTCCTTATGCCCTCCCCCTCCTACTGGTACCCATTCTCAGACAGAACTTGTTCTGCCTTCCTGTCTTAAAAATATTTAATTCTTGTACACTGAAGAGATCTTCATCATTTCTCAGCACATACAGCATTTTCACAATAAATTGCCACTGGTGGGACTGACTAAATTAGAGAAAATTTGAAATAGTACCTTTGTATTATACAAACTTAGAATCTATGCATGTCTGTTTAGTTGACATATTAGGTTTAAATAAAATTTATAAAATATTCAGCTAATTCAATCTGCTTAAATTCAATAGGAATTCATTAGAATGTAAAGAAAATTAAAAGACTCAGTCTCTTTTAGAAGTGTGTCAAAATGAAAAGATTATATTTAATTTTCACCTTCATAATCCAAGCATCTAATGGACATAACTCTCTTTTAAAAACTGCTATAGTTAGCTAGGTGTGATGACACATGCCTACAATCCCAGCACTCAGGAGGCTGAGGAAGAAGGATCAGAAGTTTGAGACAATCTAGGATAGTGAGATCGTGTTTCCAAAAAAAACACTACTATAGTGATGTCATAACATATGAGTTTCCAAATTTTCTCAAATACAAAAATGAGCATTTTGTCTTTGCATAAATTAGCTTCCAAATTTAATACTTTTAGTATTATTTGGCAGAACTGGAGTAGCTAGGGTTAACTTACTTTTTTTAAGATCACATTGTCTGCTTAGCTAAAAGATTATTATTTTAAATTGACATGGTGTGAGTCATCTGCACTTCCAAAATTACATGTAAAAAAAAAAAGACTGAAATCCCTTCTTATAATGCTATGTTACTATTTATCATAATATGCATATATTTTATTTATTTATTTATTTTAATTTTTATTGTTTTATTATTCATATGCGCATACAAGGCTTGGGTCATTTCTCCCTCCTGCCCCCACCCCCTCCCTTACCACCCACACCACCCCCTTCCTCTCCTCCCCACCCCCTCAGTACCCAGCAGAAACTATTTTGCCCTTATCTCTAATTTTGTTGAAGAGAGAATAAATAGGAAGGAACAAGTGTTTTTGCTGGTTGAGATAAGGATAGCCAAACAGGGAATTGACTCACATTAATTTCCTGTGCGTGGGTGTTACCTTCTAGGTTAATTCTTTTTGATCTAACCTTTTCTCTAGTTCCTGGTCCCCTTTTCCTGTTGGCCTCAGTTGCTTTTAAGGTATCTGCTTTAGTTTCTCTGCGTTAAGGGCAACAAATGCTAGCTAATTTTTTAGGTGTCTTACCTATCCTCACCCCTCCCTTGTGTGCTCTCGCTTTTATCATGTGCTCAAAGTCCAGTCCCCTTGTTGTGTTTGCCCTTGATCTAATGTCCACATATGAGGGAGAACATACAATTTTTGGTCTTTTGGGCCAGGCTAACCTCACTCAGAATGATGTTCTCCAATTCCATCCATTTATATGCATATATTTTAGTTGTATCTGATAATTATTCTAATACTCATAATGAATAGTTTCAGTTAAGTCCTTTAAATATACTGTTACTACACAATGCAGTGTTTTTAGAGAATGTTTATTTGTAATTATTTAAGAATTACAACTTTTTTTGAAACTCTCTTTAGAATGTTGACTATCTTACCAAAAAACTATTTTCTTAATGAATTTAACCTTGTTTTGTATTTGCATTAAATCATTCCTACTGTATTGTTAGATTTGGACTTTTAAAAAGGAAATTGTGGATAATAATTAATGGAGTTTCGCTGTTAAGTGGTATTTGCTTTTTATATTTAATTTCACAGGACAATTTTGATAGAAAAATTTTAGAAAACTGGCTTTTCTTGAAGTTAAAAGCTCTTTCAATTCCACTGCAACAGTAATTTTACCATTTCTGTATATTGTAATCTTACAGATCATGCAAATCAGAGTAGTGACAATTAATGTACATGTACTAATTTTCAAAAGACTAATAGTTCAACACCTTAACTCTTACCAGATTAATACCCACTTGACCTTAGACCTGCTGAATCAGATAATCTCCAGGTCATACATATAGATTGGAAAACCCCCTCTAGTGATTTTAACGTATACCAAACATTGAGAAGAAAATTATTCTAGACATTTTTAGTCTTCTACCTTTGGGAAGCAGTTAAAAATAAAGCTCTTGACTATAATTTTTTGTCTTTTACTTAAAGATTGAGCCTTTTATTTGGCTAGAAATACCACTAACTAAAAATTAAAATTATATTTTAATGCAATTTCTTTTTTCTTTTTTTTTAATGCAGTGCTGGGAGGTTGAACTTAGGGCCTCACTCTTGCTAGATGGATGTTTTACCACTTAAGCCACTCTACCAGCCCTGCAATTTCTTTAAATTCTACATTTTCACTATTTTTGAAGAACTGAAATTTATTGAAACATTGTTTTGTTTGTCATGATGTTAGGCAGGTGCTCTTACCACTTGAGCCACTCTGCCAGCCCTTAAAATTGAATTTCTTGACCGTGATACATAGTCTACTCTCCTGTCTTCTACAACCCCTATCCCATTCAGTGAAGAATGGTTTGATATATTTAAGGAATTAGATATATCATGTAAACATAGGGTACCTAATTTCAGGAAGAATATAATAAACTATGGATGTGAACATCCGTAGATATCTACCAGTATTTCAGATGCTGAAAAAAATGCTGAAATCAGAATATGTAAATAAATGAGATAAACTCTACCTACCCTTAAGTTTACAGTCAACTGAAAAAGCCAAGACTCAGTATTACTAACTAGTAAAACAAGCTAGAATGTTGAGTATGATGGTAAAGGAAGGTAAGAAAGGAAATGCTGAGCAGACAACAGGAGTTGACAGCAAAAGAGCCATTGCTTACCTGAAGAGGCAAACAGGAGATGGCTGATGGGAGGAAGTTGCACACAGCTGACTGAGGAGTGAGCTAGGTGGAATGCAAAAAGCACATTGGGAGGAGGGTAGGAGACAAATGTCCAGCATATCCATACTGACTTTCTTGTTATAGTTCTCTATCCATAGCTTGTGCTGAAGGAGTGGCTTAGATACCTAGGTTTATTATTATTTTTTATTTTATCATTTTTGTATTTACTCGTGTATATATTGTTTGGGCCACCCACCACCCCCCCTTTCTGGGCAGAACCTGTTCCACCCTCTTGTTCTCTGATTTTGTTCAAGAGATAATAAGATATAGCATTTTTGCTAGTTTGAGATAAAAACAGCTATACAGAGAGATTCCTAGCATTGCTTCCGTGCACATGTGTATTGTAACCTACATTGTTTCATCTCTACCAGACTTCTTCACTCCTTCCTAGTCCCCTTCCCATGGTGGCCTCTGCCAGTTTAAGATTACTATATTTGCTCCTCTACAGAAAGCACCTCAACCTCGTTCAAGTTTTAGGTTTCCTTCCCTTTCCCTATTCCTCCTGTGTTCTCCCCTTAGTGTGTGACCTATCTCCAGTAATATTACTGCATTTGTTTTAGGTCTATAATCCGCATATGAGGGAGAGCATGTGATTTTTGGCCTCCTGAATATGGCTAACTTCGCTTAAGATGATATTCTCCAGTTCCATCCATTTACTTGTGAATGACAAAATTTTATTCTTCTTTGTGGCTGAATAAAATTCCATCATGTATAAATACATTTTTTAATCCATTCATCAATAGTGGGGCATCTTGGCTGTTTCCATAGTTTGGCTATTATGAATAGTGATAGCTAGGTTTATGACCTGTGATCTCCCACACTAACCATAGTTGACTCCTGGAGGACAGGAATTAGACAGCCAAATTTGTAACACATGGTTCCATACTTGTGACCACAAGCCAACTCGATGCCTTGCCGAGAAGAAACAATTCTTAGACCTGACAGAGCTATTTAGATTCTCAAGAATATGAGCTTTAAAATTCAGAGCTGTTAGGTAAAGGTATACATGCAAATGAAAAGGTTTGTTAGAACTGCCCAGATGTCAGTAAAGCAATCCCAAGTCTAAAGGAAATTATGGATAGAGAAAGCTGGTCTTAAAAGCAAGGGAATTAAGCAGGTTTACAGAGTCTAGAGACTGTCTAAAGAGGTAGCACTAGCCCTGGTTTCTTGCTGTATAATCCCACTCTTGAGGCACAACTGTGCTTCATTTCTGGCCACTAGATGCCAGTGTTCTTACATTAAATCCCCTTTTTCTTTTTCCTTCTTTTGGTGGGACTGGAGTTTGAACTCAGGGCTTCATGCTTGCAAAACAGTTGCTCTACTGCTTGAGCCATACCTCCAATCCATTTTGCGTTGGTTATTTTGGAGATGGGGTCTCGTAAACTATTGTCCCAGGCTGGCCTCAAACCACAGTTTCCCAGTCTTGGCCTCCTAAATAGCTAGGATTACAGGCTCAAGCCACCAGCACCCAGCTTCAGTTTTTCTTAAATAAGGTCTAGTCATTTTCTGTTCCTTGCAGTCAAATAGCTCTGTGATGGATACCTAATTTTTCAACCTTGGTTATTGAGAAGATAGTGGTAGCTATCTGCTATTTAAGGAAGATTAAGTCACGGACTGGGGGTGTGGCTCAAGTGGTAGAGTGCTCACCTAGCTCTTTGTTCAATTCTCAGTACCACTAAAAAAAAAAAAAAATTAAAAAAAAAGAAGACAGTTGTGGATACAGGGCCTGGAAATCCAGGAACATTTAAAGCTAGAGATAGAGGTCTTGCAGCTATCCACATAAGACTAATAATTTATAGAAATGATTAAGGCAGCTCTGGAAGATGGTACAGGACAATAACCTTGAGAGAAGTGCATTTAAATTATGGACACAAACAGAAAACAAGATGAAAAATTGTAAAAGAAAGATGGAATAGGAAAGAATTCAGGTGGCACAAGTTTCTCAAAGACAAAGGAGGCTTTGTAGTGATCACATGGTAAGATGCAAATCAAAGACATCATTGGATTGGGTAAGTAGAGCATGACTGCCCTTTGAGAAGGCAGCCACAATATACCAGTAGAAGCAGGAGTCAAATGGATATTGTTAGAGTAGTAGATGTTAAGAAGACAGTGAGTAAATAGTACTTTAGAATGTAAACCAGATCATTATTTTATCAAATATTTTTAAAGTATATACCAGTATTTGTTTTGCTTTCAAATTTGAAACATAAAATGATGAGCATAATGTGATCTGAAACAGCATAACAGGCTATACTTAAGGTAGGTTTCTAAAGATGATAGTACTAAGAAGAAAATGGAACAAAGAGGAAATGCAGTTTTTCTACAGAACTTTTTTTTTTTTTGGGGGGGGGTACTGGGGTTTGAATTCAGAGCCTCACACTTGCCAGGTAGGTGCTCTATAACTTGAGCCCCTCTGCCAGCCTTTTTTAATGCTGTGTATTTTTGAGATAGGGTCTTCCTTTTATTGCCCAGGCTGGCCTCAAAATGTGGAAATAATACATTTTTCCAAAACAGTAAGCCATTACCTTATATCCTCAAGATATTAAAAATTGTATCTTCCTTCTATCAGAATAGGTTTTCTTTTTTATTGGTGGTACTGGGGTTTGAACTCAGGGTCTCACTGCTTGCTTGGGAGGAGTCTTACCCTTGAGCCACTCTGATAGCCTGTTTTTTGTGACTTTTGAGATAGGATCTCCTAACTATTTGCCTGGGGCTGGCTTTGAACCATGATCCTCCTGATCTCTGCCTCCTGAGTAGCTAGGATTACAAATATGAGCCACTGGCACACCCAGCTCCAGAGCAGGTTTTCACTGGCTAAGAGTATAAGATAATTTTCTCTAGACTTTCCACGAAAACACTTATTTACACACTTAAACATTTTCTGTGGGTGACAGTAAAATGATATTTTCACATGTATGAAAATAGCATAATGAAACCCACTAAAAAGTGACTTACCATTAGGTAAGGGTTCGAGAAGGATCTGTAGCCAGGAGTGGCTCACACCTGAAATCCTATCTGCTTGGGAGGCAAAGATCAGGAGGATCATGGTTCAAAGCCAGCCTCAAGCAAACAGTTAGACCCTATCTCAAGAAGTCACAAAAAACAGGCTGTCAGAGTGGCTCAAGGGGTAAGACTCCTCCCAAGCAAGCGTGAAACCCTGAGCTCAAACCCCAGTGCCACCGATAAAAAAGAAAACCTATCCTGGTAGAAGGAAGATAAAATTTTTAATATCTTACAAGGTAATGGCTTACTCTTTTGGAAAAATGTTACTATTTCTACCTTTTGACTCAAATGGTGTCCAGATATATGGAGGGGGTTCACATGACAGTATAGCATCAGGATGGATGGGGTCTCTAGCTCTTCCATTTTCTGGGCATGCTGCTGGCCTCTGGTGCAGCAGGCAATGATTTATAGAATACATGAGATCTTTCCTAGCCTGGCCAGAGCCCAGTAGTACTTGGCTCAGCTGGTCTCACCTCAGTTCTCTTGGGTGTGGACAATTCTCTAAGGCTATATCACCTGTATGTCTGTCTGAAACAAGCCAATATAGATCACACTGCAAGTTTATCAGTGCCATCCCATTACAGGTTCAGGTAAGCCTACCTGCTATCTTCTGAATCTCCCCTTGGAGGAATATGGGAACTTGTAGGTCCCTCCATAACACATAGAAATATAATAGACTGAAAAAAGCAAACTGCATTGCTAAAGGTTAATGTGTCTGTGTCTTAGCCTGAAGGGCCCTCTCCAGAATCCTGTAGACTCCTACCCAGCACACAATGGAATACTTCTTCAAAGCAGTGAAAAATGGTTTGCTACATTAAGCAGCATGCGTGAATTGCACTAATAAATGTTGAACAAAAGAATCCAGACACAAAAAGGTTATGTAGTCTTCGATTCCATTTGTATAAAGTTCAAAAACAGGCAAAAAGAAAAAACTGCTCTGTGGTATTAGAAGTCAGAATAGTAACTGTCAAGAGGGTTTTTTATTTGCCTATTTTTGTGAAATTGTTATTAACACCTATTGTAATACCTAAATAAACTATATAGAAAACTTTTTCAAGTCCTGAACTTTGAAACTCCTTGAAATTCACTGGGAATTTCCTATCTGAAACCTTTTCACCACTTTGTAACAACTTTCATTAAGTATCTGTCCTGACCGCCAGGAGCCATGGCTCAAAGTGGAGATTGGGAGGATCATGGTTGGAGGCCAGCCAGGGCAAAAAGTCTGCAAGATCCCCATGGCTCTGCCAATGGCTGGGCGTGGTAGGGCCTGCATACCTGTCATTCATTCCAGCTATACAGAGAAGCACAAATAGGATGATGTCCAGACCAGCCAGGGCAAAAATTGAGACCCTATCTCAAAATTAACCAATGTAAAAAGGGCTGGCAGAGTGCCTTAAGTGATAGAGCGCTTGCCTAGCTAGTATAAGGGCCTGAGTTCAACCCTCAGTACTGCCAAAAAAATATTAAATTATAGATAGACATACAGATCTATATATCTGTAGTAACCTTGTATGCTATTCACTATTTGGTTATATTTCCGTATTGAAAAAAATTAGTATATTCCCTGGTTTCTTCAGGGTTAAAATTTTAGTCTTTACATTGTAAAATATCTTCTCAAAAAATTAGTTTTTCACAATGAACAGCTACACAAAGTTTTACACATTCTAATTTATGAAAGAAAACAAATAGGCTTTAAAAGCAATAAGACAAATGCATGAAAACTATTTTAGGGCTTGTTTTTCATAGATGCTGACCTACTGGAACAAGAGCAAAACCTGCATTGGATGAGTGGCCGTAAGCATCTCCATAAGTTGGTGTCCAGTAATAATGCCTTTTAAGGCCATTGGAGACTTCTGCAAGATATACACATCCATCCACCACAAATGGCTCCACATCTGTATTGTCTGGTTTTAGACGGCCCTTTTGAATTAAGTCTGAATATGCCTAGGATTTTTAGCAAAATGTGTGTGATTAAGAATATAATCTATTCAACTTGCAGTGCTTAAACAAATGTAAGTATTCAATTTAGCTGTGCTGTTTTATAGCTTAAAATAAGATGTTCTGGATAACTTGAATTTTAATATTTTCCAGCTATTATAGGTAGGTTTTTATTAATTATACACAATGAGATTTTAATACTATAAAACTTATTTCCAAGTTTTCATAAATAAGGCATGTTTTGTCATTTTGTGATTTCTCTAGTAAAAATTCCAATTTAACTTTGGTCCAATTTTGTGGACTAAAGTTCTCATGGACAAAATTCTCAAGTCCCACAGGTGCTGGTGGCTCATGCTTGTAATCCTAGTTACTCTGTAGGCTGAGATTGGAAAGATGGAGGTTCAAGGCTAGCTAGGGCAAATAGTTCACAAGATCCTTTGGAGATGTGACTCAGGTGGTAGAGTAACTGCTTTGCAAGTGCAAAACCCTGAGTTCAAACCCTAGTTCCACCAAAAAAAAGTAAAAATTCTCCAAGATGTAATGTCTGACTATCCTTTGTAACCATTTCTAAGGTTTTGTAAATGTCTATGGTTGTAGAGAACATCCTCCAAAAAAGCAATATTATTTTATTTTATTGGGGTTTCTTTTGCGGTACTAGGATTTGAACGCAGGGCCTCACGCTTGCTAGCTAGGGGCTCTACCACTTAGGTTTACATAACTATTTCCCCCAGGCTAATCCTCTTGATCTTTGCCTCCTGAGTAGCTAGGATTACAGGCATGAGCCACAGGCACCCAGCTCAGAAAATGCTTTACTGGAAAAAAAAAAAAAACTTACCACACATGTAGCCTCATCAAATTTGTTTCCCCAGATGTAGATATTAGATAATACAGGATTTGTTTCCATTGACTGTGATAGTGCAACAAGACCTTCTCCCTCTATATTGTTGCTGACTACTGACAATCTGTTAAAAAAAAAAAAGAAGAAAAACCACTGGAAATCCATAGTTGAACTAAGAAAGAATACACGAGTTAGCATCAACATTCATTTCAATCACTTTCTTAAGTCTCAGCATCATTTTAAATGTTTTAATATGATAAGGTATTGACCATATAATTCCTAAAGAATTATATGAATTTTGACATTTGAATTTGAATTATGAAATTTTGTTTTCTCATTAAATGTTTCATGTACCTAGCAAAGCAACCTACATCTTGAAAATAGTCTTTTTGGTGTTTATTATTTTTATTATTCAGTACATTTGGGTACATTACAGGTATAAGTCTTTGTCATATTGAATGCTTAAGATTTTTGTTAGAATTCAGGATAAAGACTATAAACAAAAATTTTCTCATGAATTTTAACAGGTAAGCATAAATAGAATCAGTCTAGTTTTTAAAAGACATTGCTTTTGAATTAATGATTACTGTAACTTAATACAGTAAGATTTAGAAACTGAATTTCCACATTTTATTAGAACCTTAAGAGTTAAGGGGTTTGAGGTTAGTAGTCTAAAGTATTTAAGTTTAATTGGTTATTTTGATTAATTATAAAACCATACTAACGCTTTAAGACTCCTGTTGTGTGAAGTAAGAGTTTCACTGAGATAATTTGCTCCTGCATTTTCTATTCTGTTAAAAGAAAGATCTATCACTTCCAGGGTAGTATTGCTTTTCAGTACAGCAGCCAAATGTATCATTCCATCATGAGTGATTTTATTGCTAGGGAAGGAAAATAATTAGTAATATTTAAAAACACAAAGCATTATTCTTTTACTCATGGTAACAAGATGCTTGAAAACATACAATAAAGTACTTTATATTTTAGTTCACTGAACTGCCAAGAAAGTTAATGAAAATTCACCTTAAAATACAGCTCCATTCTAGCTAACATAACTACCAATTGTGGTAATTAAGAGATATAATACAGTATAACTAATCAATATTAAGGCTTAGGATAAAAGACTGACAATAATGGATACATTTTCTAATCATTGGAAATAGTGCTTAACAAAACTATCCCATGTTCTCTGAACATTTATATAGTAAATTTGTATATAAATTGTCACTTACCAGCTGATACCAAGGTAGCGTAGGCTGCTGTTCAGATACAATGCATCACATAACTGTTGTATACCATAATTTTTTATACCATGTTTACACATGTGTAGTTCAAGAAGGCAGTGATTTTCTTTCAACATATGGCCTAAGTGGGCTGTAGATTCTTCCTAAAAATAAATTCTTGTGTCTAAAATGCAGTTTGAAGCATTACATGTCTATTTCAAATATATCCTGCCTGTTAACTTAAAATTAGCCTTTTGTTTTTGAGATAGGATCTTGCTATGCAGCCCAGGCTGGCTTCCAATTCTCTTAATCTTTTTTTTGGCAGTAGTGGCTTTAACTCAGGGTTTTGAGCTATAGCTCCAGCCCAAATGCATTATTTGCATGGCTTCTTTTTTTTTTTGGCACCACTGGGGTTAGAACTCACTTGCTTTATGCTTGCAAAGAAGACACTCTACCACTTAAGCCACTCGTCTAGTCCTGGCTTTGAGTTCTCCATCCTTTTGCCTCAATCTCCCACATGCTGGGGTTATAGGCATGCACCACCACAGTGGGCTCCAAATGGTATCTTTTACCATTTACAAATAGGTAGCAGGGGGCTGGTGGAGTGACCCAAGCATTAAGAGTGCTTGCCTCACAAGTTTGAGGCCCTGAGTTCAAACCTCGATACCACAAAAAAATTAGTAATTAAGATCAGAATAAAAAGCTGGGCACCAGCGGCTCACACTTGTAATCCCAACTACTTGGAAGGTTGAGATGTGGAGGATTGAGGCTCAAGGCCAGCCCAGGCAAATATTTTGGGAGAGACAATGGAGGTGATCTAACCAATGTACAATGTAAGCCTAATCGGAATTGTCACTGTGAATCTTCCCCTTTAAGAAATATATCCTAATTGTAAAAAATTAATAATAGAAAATAGGTAGCAGGCACTTATGAAATGTAGTAACTCAGTGATACAAAACAAGACTTAGAAAATAGTTATTTCAATAGGAAAAAAATGAAAACTTTATATCCTATATTGAGCATGTATGTTCCTCTACTGCTATCCTTTCAAGTCTCTAAACCATTCCTGTTTGTTCACTCTGTTCCTGCCTTTGCCTGTGATTACCTCTTTAATGGTGTTAAGACAAAATAGAGACATTTTGCCATCTTAATTTTGCTTTAAAAATACACTCATTAATAAATGACATAGCTGACTTCCTCTCTTTTAAACTTCCCATACTTTTTTTCTGGTTACCAGAAAACTTTAACTAGCTGCTTCTAGGCAAAAGATTTGTACTCCAATGAGGTTGTAAGTACCATTCAGAATCAAAGCACATCTTAAGAAGAATGGGCCAGAGTACTTCCTTGTAAGTCTTCTTGAATGATTGCTGTATAACATTGTAAGAAGTTGTTCTGTTGGTTGTTTTTATTGTTATTTGTTGAGACTAGTGTCACTAGCTCAGGCTGGTTTTGAACTTCAACTTGTGATCCTTCTGCCGCAGTCTCCCAAGTGCTTAGAATATAGTCATTCATCTTCCATCACGCCCAACTTGTGGTGTGTTTTATAGTTACTACAGATGATGCAGATGAATATGGCCAGCTGCATGTTCTCATTATGTCAAAGCACTCTGAGGAAACCACAGAGCAGCAGCAGAAGGCACATAAGCATTGTGATAACAGGCCTGGCCCGATGTTAGCTTTACCTTCATGGCTTTGGGCAAATTGCTTCATCTAGCAGAGTCTCCATTTCCTTTTCTATAAAATAGGTGAAATTATGCTTCCCTCAGAATTAAATAACAAAAACAACCTGATCAAAATAAGTTTTCTATAACAACCTGCAAATCATTTATTATTGTTCAGTATTCTGTAGTTCTGTATTTGATTTGTTTTAGTTATTGTTTTCACACTGAAAAGATACACCTGAAGGAGCCAGGTGGCGATGGCTCACGCCTGTAATCCTAGCTACTCAGGAGGCAGAAATCAGGAGGATTGTGGTTTGAAGCTAGCCCTAGCAAATAGTTTTGTGAGACCCTATCTGAAAAACCCTTCACAAAAATAGAGCTGGTGGAGTGGCTCAAAGTCAAGGCCCTGAGTTCAAGCCCTAGTACCACACACACACAAAAAAAAACCTGAAGAAATGCTGTATAGTATGGGATCTTAAAAATACAAACTGACCAGCGAGGGTTGTCCACTATTAATTGTTCTGTCACAGAGGACCTAATACATTTTTTGTGAGGCTGAGAAGCTTGAAAAAAGAACCAAAATAGGTGTTCTTCTGCTTGAGCTACATTCCAGCCCTCATTGCAGAGGTCTTATACCTAAGGGGTTTTTTGTTGGTTTTTTTGGGGGGGAGGGGAAGGGTTATTTTGAGATTATTTCTTTCTCAGTTCATTGTTAGCATACAAGAATGTTACTGATTTTGTGTGACTTTATATCCTGCTACTTTGCTGAAGGTGTTTTATTAGGTCTTAGTTTTCTGGTGTAGTCTTTGGTGCCCTTTAAGTATAGGATCATATCATCTGCAAATAGGGCTAATTTAACTTCCTATTTGTCTCCCTTTTATTTTTCTCTTGCCTTATTGCTCTAAGAATTGAAGGACTATATTGAATAAGAGTGGAAAGAGGACATCCTTGTCATGTTCCTGATTTTAGGGGAAATGTTTTCAATTTTTCCCCATTCATTACAATGTTGGCTATAGGTTTGTCATATACAGCCTATATATTAAGTTGAAATATCTTCTTTTTTGTTCCTAGTTTTTTGGGAGTTTTTATCATGAAGGAACACCGAATTTTGTCTAATGCTTCCTGGGCATTCTTGATGATATGATTTGTATTCATTGTGTTGATATAATGTATTATACTTACATTGATTTGAATGTTGAACCATCCTTGCATCCCTGCAATGAAACCAATTTGATCATGATGTCTGATCTTTTAAATGTGTGTTGAATTCAGTTTGCAAGTGTTAAGAATTTTTGCATCTATGTTCATCAAAAAAATTGTTCTATAGTTTTTGTTGTGTCTTTATCTGGTTTTGGTACTAGGGTAATACTAGTTTCATAGAATGAGTTTGGTAGCATTCCTTCCCTTTCTATTTTATGGAATAATTTGAGAAACATTGGTGTTAGTTCTTCTCTAGAAGTCTAGTAGAACTCAGCAGTGAATCCTTCTGGACTCAGACTTTTCTTTGTTGGGAGACTATTAACTGCTTTGGTCTCACTGCTCATTACAGATCTGTTTAAGTTAATTACGTCCTCTCAGTTAGATTTTGGCAGGTCATATGTGTTTAGAAATTTATACATTTCTTCTAGATTTTCCAACTTATTGGAATCTAATTTTTTAAAAATATTTTCTAGATTTCATTGGTATTTGCTGTAATGTCCCCTTTTTCATCTCTAATTTTATTAATTTAGGTCTTTTTCTTCTTGCTTTTGGTTAGTTTAGCTAAGGGTTTATCAATCTGGTTAATCTTTCAAAGTTCCAACTCTTGGTTTTATTGATTCATTGTACTTTCTTTTAGTCTTATTTCACTGATTTCTGCCTTGTTCTTATTTTTTCTTTCCATCTGCTAATTTTTGTGTTTGCTTGTTTTCATTTTTCTAAGAATTTGAGATGCATCTTTAGATTATCTATTTGACTTTGGGGTGGAGAGTGGGGAACAGTGCTGGGGTTTGAACTCAGGGCCTCACACTTGATAGGCAGGCACTTTCCCACTTGAGCCACTCTGCTAGCCCTAGATTACTTATTTGAGATCTCCCTGTTTGTTTTTTTTTTAATGTAGGCACTGATAGCTATAAACTTACCTCCTAAAAATTTTCTTAGCCGTATCCCATAGGATCTTGTATATTGTGTTTTTATTTTCATTTAATACTAGGAACTTTGTAATTTCCTCCCTGATTTCTTCAGTGACCCTCTGATCATTCAAAAGCATATTGTTTAGTTTTTGTGTGTTTGTGTAGTTTCTATAATTTTTCTTGCTATTGATATCTAACTATTCCATTTTGATCTGATAGGATACATAAGATGGTTTCAATTTTCTTGTATTTGTTAAGATCTGTTTTATGGCCTAGAATGTGATCTGTTTTGGAGAATGTTTCATGAGCAGCTGAGAAGAACGTGTGTTCAGTAGCAGTTGGATAGAATATTCTGTAGTGTCTGCTAAGTCCATTGGGTCTGTGGTGCAGTTTAACTCTGAAGTTTTCTTTGTTGATTTATTTTTTTCTGAATGATCTATTGGCAAGAGTCGGGTATTAAAATCACCAACTATTATTATATCTGATCCTATCTGTCCTCTTATATCTAACAGTGTCTGTCTTATGAAGTTGGGTGTGCCAACATTTGTTGCATACAAATTTACAACTGTTAAATCTTCTTGGTTGATTTTCCATTTACTATTATATATTGACCCTCTTTATATCTTCTCATTTTTGCTTGAAGTCTATTTTGAACAAAGATGTTTCAAACATGTAATGTGTTCAAAGATGTAATGGTTCAGTCACATCAACATAACAAACAATGGAACAGTTGACCCTGAGTTCTTATATCATGGTTGTAAAGACTCTTCATCTTAACTTTTAACACTCACAGGTTTACTCACCCAGAACTTGAGTTGTATAAGAAAAGACATGTTTGCTGCTTAAATAAGCAGCACCAAAATGCATATTTAGTTATTAAAGTCTTATCAAAAATTAGTATAATAAGCCAGGCATGCTGCACACCTGTTATCCCAGGACTAGAGAGGCTGAGGCAGGAGGATCATGAGTCTGGGGTCAGCCTGGGGTCAACCTGGGCTATATGGTGAGAACTTGCTTCAAAAAAAACCACATAATTTTCTTTTAAATGAAAGTTTTGATTTTATAAACAGTGCTTTATAAGATACAGTGGATAATTCTAAAAATACAACATATTCACGCACCATACTTTAGTAGAAAGTTCTATTCACAAGTTACATTAACCACACTTTGAATACATACCTGTTCACCGTACATTATAGGTCGGTTCAGGTTTATTCCCTTAACTGCTTGGTTTTGAGTTAGTACTGTAGCAAATGCTATCACACTTTGCATTCCCTAAAAACAGGTAAATTCATTAAGGAAACTGACATTATATAAATTAATCTCCCTACATAAGTATTTCATGACCAATTATCTGAATACCAATTACCTGAATTGTGATAAGTCATAATTACGTTTTTAAAAGGTTTAAGCATTTCTTGCTGTTTGAATTGTAGGTTGGTCAAATTTAAAAATGAATTGTTAATGTATTCCTCTCCCTGCCCAAAAATCTACAGCATACATGGGGAGTTTCTTAACATTTTAGTATCCATTCTCTGGGTATTTGCCTCTACGCTTGCTCCTAAGCCCTCAAGGCTCTGTATGATGTAGAGATGCACATGTGAATCCTAGTTAGGACCCATATGCTTAGCAACACATACCCTTGTGCAAGAATTCTTTTATGTTCATACTAGTACATTAAGTGTGTGTGGTAAGAAAGGGTCACTATCACATTTTTCACAGCTCTCCTCCATAGCTCTCCCTCCCACTATCTGACTGGAAGGGCTTAACCTGCCCCATCTTCATGATGGACACCGCCACGCACACACAAAACTGTTATCCCAGAAAGCAGCTTCTCACTCTGCCATTCCTTAGCCTCCCAATTCAGTTAAGTCTTACACATTCTGTCTCCAAAAATTGTCTGAAATTAGTCCAATTCTACACATTTTTATGGCCACCACACTTGCCCAAGCCCTCATCATCTCTCACCTAGATGACTGCAGTGACTTATCTTAGTGGTCAGTCGACTTCTCCAATTCCCACACAGAAACCAGAGTGATCTTTTGAAAATACCCATCAGATCATGTCAGCCCTTGACTTAAAGCCTTTGCATTTATAACTATCCCTTCTTCCCCTGACCCCCTTGGCTCATTCCCCACACACCTTGCCTAATCTGGTGTGTCTGAGCCTCTCCACCTCTGCAAAGGTACTCTTTTAACCTCCTCTGCACACACACTTTGGACTTTTCAGTTCTTAAAACATGACAGACTTGATATTTCATTTTTCATGTACTCCTCTCATGATCGTTGCCATATCTGAATATGCAAAATATTTACCTGTCACAGTTTTACTGTTTAGTTAATACTATCCATTAAATCAACTTACTTTTTCACATACGTTTATTTTAAAATGAAACTTTGTTATCACTGCCATAAATGTAAAACCATAATCCCTTGAAATAAATAGAAACATCTGTGAAAAATAAATACTTGAATATTAAAATAACCTCATTCCGCAGCAGTAATAACTCCCATTCCACATGTGGGAAGCACTGTCTTAACGTCTGTACATTCTGGATACACTGCCTGGAATGTTCTGCCATGGGCCTGTCCAGGAGTTGTCATGCTTTATAACTCCTATATATCACCTGCTCAGGTCTCAGGCAGCCACCTCATCGAACAGAATTATCTCTTCCTCATCGTCAAGTACTTGGTCATCTTTACAGCACTTTTATCTATTTCTTCATTGATGTTTTCCCAACTAAAATATAAAGTTCCATAAGGACACAGGCCATATATGATTCACTGTGTGTCCTTAGTACCTAGCACATTGAGTGGTACGTGTAAGCAAATACTGCGTCAGTGCTTTCTAAGAACGGTACTGGCTGCATCTAGCTCTTGGTCCATTTTACTGTTTTTGTGTCCCAATGATTTTGTATTAATCTGAGGCTATACAACAGGTTCCTAAAGCCTCAAACTTGAAAGTAGGTTGGAGAAAGTAAACCTTGGAATTTGAAGACATGCAAGAAACATTTCCTGTTATCAAGCCACATGAAGGCTCACAGCAACTTTTAGCATCATTTTTAAATTTTTATGGTACAACATATTTACTGCAAAATATTTTAACTAGGTTAAGATGAGCTACAGATTAGAAATATTTTTGTTGTGTTTGATATTTTCCTATGGCATTTACTATCTGACTTTTTTTAAACAATATTATTATGTAAAGAGGAAAAAAATCACATTTTCTCATTTTGGAGCAAGATTAGCCATTGATAAAACTCACTTGGCTGATCTCTTGAACATTTTCTATGCTGATTTCTTAAAAGAATAATCCAGGGTCTCCTAATCAGTTTACTGATTTTTCTCCTAATCAGTTTACTCACCAGATCACAGTCACCCAGATCTAATTTCTCTAAGGATGAATTAATCTGCAGCATTGAAGCAAAAAACATACCACCTTTATTTTCAATTTTATTTCCAGTCATCCTTAAGTACTTCAGAGTTGTATTCTTCTGAGAAGGAAAAGAATCAAAACTTAGTTGTTTATGTTTCAATCCACAGAATTCTCTAAATGAGTTAGGAGGCAAAATAGGGTATATCCTTTAAGAGTTAACTTTGGCTTTCCCATAATAGATAAAAATCTACTTTAATAGAAAAAAATGACCAAGAGTGCCCAATACATAACCAGTAAATAAAGTAGATTTTAATAAAATCTCCTTTTATTGGAAAATCTGTAAAACTTATTTCCTAGAAAACTTTCTTTAGGAACATTTTTTATTAAGGTGAGATTAATATAACATAAAATCAGCCATTTTAAACTACACAGTTCAGTGGCATTTTCAGCATTCACAGTGTTTTATAGTCATCACTTGGAGCCTGTTCCAAAACATTCGTCATCCCCAAAGGTAGTCCTGTACCCACTAAGTAGACATTCCTATCACTTTGTATTTGAGTGGAGGTGTGGCTCAAGTGGTGAGAGGCTCTCAGTTTAATCTCTAGTACCACCACCACAAAACAAAACAAAACAAAAAAACCAGGGACCAAGAAGGGTCTTGAAAAATTACTAAAGTTAAATGACTTTAAAAGTTACTAGAATTAGTATAGCACTCAAACACAGTACTGACATAAGGATAGGCAACAGACTAACAGAACTGAGAACACTACAGAAATCAACCCTCACATTTTATGTTCAACTGATTTTTTTAACTAGGTGTCAAGATAAATCGGTGGGGAAAGTTTTTTAATGAACATCCCAATCCAATTGGACAACTAGATACCCACATGTAAAAGAATGAAGTTAGACTCCTGCCTTATACCATATAAAAATTAATTCATAATGGATGAATCACTAAACTAGAAGAAAACATAAATGTAAATCTTTGCAACTTTGGGTTGGGCAAATCCATTCTTAAATACCACATCAAAAGAATAAGCAACAAAGTTGGGCTTTATCAAAATTAAGTTTTTATGGTTCTTTAAGGCACAAAACACAGAATGAGAGAAATATTTGCAAATCAGATATAAGCACCTTATATCTGGTCTATATAAAAAGCTCTTACAATTCCAAACAACTTTCTGGGTGCGGGATTTGCTCTCAAACTCCCAGTTAATTGGGAATCTGAGGCAGGAGGATGGCTGGAGCCCAGCTGTTCAAGACCAACCTGAGCAACGCAGTGAGATCTCACCTCAATGAGCAAAACCCAACTTTGAAAGAGAATAGGACTTTGATAGACCTCTCTCCAAAGGAGATACACACATGAAACGATGCTCAACATCACTATTCATTGGGGAAATAAATAAAAAACCCACAGCACCTGGTCACAGCCACTAGACTGGATAAGATTAAAACAGCAATAACATGCTGGCAAGGTGCGAAGATCATATATTGTTGGCAGAATTGTTGTAAGATGCAGCCACTTAGTTACTCAAAATGTTAAGCAGAGGGCTGAGGGCCTGACTCAAGTGGTAGAGCACCTGCCTAGCGAGCACAAAGCCTTTTTTTCAAACCCCAGTTTCACACACACACAAAAATTATCACATGGCTCAGCAAATTCACTCAAAATAAGTAAACACTCCTTCAAATTGACAGCATATGTCCACACAAAAACGTATGGACGTCCATAGTAGCATTCATAATAACCAAAAAGTCAAAACTCAAATGTCATCAGTTGAAAAATGAACAGAACAATGGATTATTACTTGGCAATAAAAAAGAATGAGATGATAAACCTTGAAAACACTAAGCCAGTTACAAATGCCACTTACTGTATGATTCCATTTATATAAAATGTCCAGAATAGGTAAATCTATATACAGAAAGTATTTAGTGGCTGTCAGAGACTGTGGAGTGTGTGTGGTAGAAGGATTGCTAATGGGCATGGAACTTCTTTTGGGGGGGTAATGAAAATATTCTAAAAATAGTAGTAGTGATGGTTGCACAGCCCTGTAAATATATTTTTAAACTCCATCTAAAGCAAAGTCCTGAAGAGGATAAATTTTATGTATATTATATAGCTCTTATAAGTATTTTTGTTTTGGGGGTTTGTTTTGAGTCAAGGTCTCACTGTGTAGCCCAAGCTGGCCTGGATCTCATGATCCTCCTTTTTCTTCCTCTAACATGCTGGGATTACAAGCACGTGCCACCATGCCCAGCAAAGCTGATTGTTGTTTCAAAAGTTCTCATGTAGTATCTACACTTTAATAAACTGAAGTGTGATAAAATACACATACCTACAATACTGAAATAATACAAGTTTACATTAACATTTGTTCTGTTATCTCTAATATATCAGAAGTTAAAAGTTCCGAATAAAATGTTAGAGGTGTATAAATGCTTACATGTAGTGCTCTAGCAATCAATTCTGCACCTTCAGGCCGAATAGCATTAAACATCAGGTTTAAGTAAATGAGATAAAGTTGTGTCTATAAGGAGCAAAAAGAAGCCATTACATATGTATGGAAATTGACCGATTATATACACATTTATTTAGTTAAAAGTATTTACCTCCAAAGAAAATCTCTATAACCCCCCAAAAATTGAATTCCAGCAAAAGCAACTATGAAAGGAAAAAAAAATCACCATTCTCATTTAAACAATGTAATTGCAATATAAGTGAAAGAAAACTACTATATTCAGTTTTACCAACAACTGAAAGTATGGATATGCTCTATGTATTTCCCCATGGCACACAAATTTACAAAAGACTGTTCAGGAGCAGCAGGTACCAGCTCTACTGAGACCAAACACAAGGTGTTTCCATGTATTTCAAGTGTTATAAATGTAGCCCAGGGTTCAGGATCCTGGACTTTTTGCATAACTAGTGTTTTTGTGGGTGCCATTTAGACTAAGGGGTTTCACTGTAAACAGAATGAAGAATATTTTGTATAAAATAATACCTCGAGCAATTCTGCAGCATAGTATGCACCAGCATCACTTATGAGGTTATACCTAACATCCAAACCTGAAGGAGACAGATGAACAGAAACTGACATTCCTTATAAACAATGCTTAAAGTCAGGAGAACAGAAAGCAGAAGGTATTGATTCTTAACCAAGCATACCATGAATATATGGATGATTCTGTAAAATTTTGGAAAGAATGCAAAAATCTTCATCTGTTATTCTTTCTACTGGGATTAAACGATTGTTACCAGCAATATTTAATGTGATTGCTTTTTTCAGTCTGTTAAAGTACAAAATAAAGAAAAAGATGTTGCAATACAATGACACTCAGTAAAGTAATAAAAGTTTTTTTCTACATGCATAAATAGTAACAGCACAGATCACACTCACTAGAACAAAGTATATAGTAGACTTACCATATATAGTACATTATACCAGGGAACTTAAAACTGCTGGACATTCTATAGACTTTGCAAACAAATATACTCTGCATAATTTCTGTCTCTCTCCCCCAATGTATCCACACTTTATAAAAATATGGAAAACTTAGCTGGGCTCTGGTAGCTCACACCTGTACTCCTAGCTACTTGGGAGGCTGAAATTGGTAGAATCGTGGTCGGTGGCCAGCTGGGGCAAATAGTTCAAAATATCTCATCTCCAAAATAACTAGAGCAAAAATGGACTGGAGATCTGGCTCAAGTTGTAGACTGCCTGCTTTGTGAGCACAATGCCCTGAGTTCAAATCCCAATCCCACACAAAAAAATTGAAAACTTTGACGATTTGCCTAAAACTCACCCAGTTCACAGAGTTAAAGGCAACCTGAAGCCTAGGCTTGAGGTTGTGTCCTCCACCAGCACTGTTAATAAACAGCACCACTCATCTACTTACTTATCTGAATCAAAAGATATCTCCATTTTACCAAGCCATTTTCTAATGGCTATAAGACCACCGAGTAGTCCAGGATTTTCATAAAGATGGGAATCAGTGAATGCTGTTGATGTAATCAAGTATTTGTCTTCCTTACCCCTTTTTAATTTCTTCATCCACTTCTTGAAGTATATGCAATATAAAAGGATTAACTTTCTGGGATTTTTCCAAACACAGATTAGAATAATGTTCCTGGAGACCAGCAAGAGATTCTGGAGCTTTTGAAAAATAAATACATCTGTCATAACATATAAATTATTCCAAAACCTTTTTTTTTCAGCAACAGCTATACTTCTTTCAAAGATGAGTATGTGTGTAGTGGGTGGGGGGAAGAAGAGAGAACTAAAGACAGAATAGGAGAGAAATAAACTAGGAGAATTAAAATGCTGTTTGGAGAATGAGGGACATGGATGTACCCAAAAAGGGTGGGCAGAACCTGGCTTGAGTCAGCACCCTAATATGGAAATGACATAAAAAGAAAACTAACCTCTGTTATGTGCAATACCTGGTAGCATATGGAAAATGATGTCCAGAGAATTAAGTACTTTGTGCAAAATCATGCCAATAGTAGGGCAGTATGCAAAATCTTACTGCCTCCAAAGACTCTCACTGTCACACTGGGTTATAGTACTCAAGCTTTCTTAAAATACTCCAAATAAAGACAGCTACTCCAAGCACTCAGGAGGCAGAGTTGAGAGGATAGCGATTCAAGACCAGTTGAACAAGAAGTCCATCGGACTCCAACTGAACCAATGGTTGAACAAGGTAGTACAGCTTTTGAAAAATAAATACATCTGTCATAACATATAAATTATTCCAAAACCTTTTTTTTTCAGCAACAGCTATACTTCTTTCAAAGATGAGTATGTGTGTAGTGGGTGGGGGGAAGAAGAGAACTAAAGACAGAATAGGAGAGAAATAAACTAGGAGAATTAAAATGCTGTTTGGAGAATGAGGGACATGGATGTACCCAAAAAGGGTGGGCAGAACCTGGCTTGAGTCAGCACCCTAATATGGAAATGACATAAAAAGAAAACTAACCTCTGTTATGTGCAATACCTGGTAGCATATGGAAAATGATGTCCAGAGAAATTAAGTACTTTGTGCAAAATCATGCCAATAGTAAGGGCAGTATGCAAAATCTTACTGCCTCCAAAGACTCTTTCACTGTGCCACACTGGGTTATAGTAACTCAAGCTTTCTTAAAATAGCTCCAAATAAAGACAGCTACTCCCAGCTACTCAGGAGGCAGAGATTGAGAGGATAGCGATTCAAGACCAGTTGGAACAAGAAGTCCATGAGACTCCAACTGAACCAATGGTTGAACAAGGTAGTACATGCCTATCATCCCTGCTACACAGGGAAGCACAAGCAGAGGAACTGTTGTCCAGTCCAGCCTGGACATACAGGGAGGCCCTACTTCAAAAATAACCAAAGAAAAAGGGCCAGAGGTATGGCTCAAGTAGCAGAACCCTGCGTAGTAAGTGCAAGGCCCTAAGACCAATCTCCATGGCTGCCCCCCAAAAAGACAACTTTATCCAACAATCTAACTCCAGAAGGGTCTGAAAATTGCCTAGTCCTGTGGGCTTCTTCAGTACCATATATACTGTCACAAGTTAGCATTTTCTTCACACCAAATTGAGGCCTTGTTCATGAAAACACTTGACCTACCCCAGCCTTCCATTCCATTCCTCATGCTAACAGAGTTTTCCCATATAGTTATTTCTTTTTTTTAAATTTTTTTCCTGTACAGTTCTTAAATAGACAAAACAGGAGTTAAGATCTCCCTTCTCTGTTAAATACACACCTTTCCTTAATAGTCTACTGTTTTCAGTTTCACTTTTAAAACATATCTGGCAAGGCAACCCAGGTCTTCTGGGATGGAATGGTATGCCGATACTTTTCTAAGACGCACAGGACACTGCTTTCTTTCCTACCTTTTGCATTATGTCTCTTTAAACATCTGTGTGTGAGATCTCACTGCTCAACCAGCCTGGACTTTTAGGAGCTGGCTTCTCCTTAAGTTTCTACATCTTAGTCCTTTGCTGAGTGGATTTCTACACTATAGAAACTGAAGGGTTTGCTAAACAGATTTGCAGAACAAGATTTAGGATGAGGTATATTATCTTTAAAATAAAAGGAAATAGATTTTTAAAATAACCTTTTAAAAAATAAATTTAACACCAC